GAAAATTGTGGTCAGCACAACAAATGCTCTTTAGCATTTGAAGGATTCGAGTTCAGGTGGCTGAGGAAATTATAATATTTGCATGCATCACATGTAAAGGTGTGTCAGGTTGTGAGGGATATTTTACATTCTGTAACACTGACACGTGAAACCAAAAGGGAGGGAGTACTTCAGTAAAGTCCTTCACAAACTAATACAAAAAAAGAAGATGCTAATTTTATATTTAAAAATGTTTGAAGTCAGATATGTTTAAAATTATACTGCTTTGTTGGAAAGCTAACATAAGTGGACTGAAAACATACTCTGTCTATGGTCAGTTCCAGATTTAAAAAATATTGAACTGGTATGCCCCTCTGTTGTTTGGGATAGATTTTTTAATATATTTACTCATAAAATGCATGCAGATTTAGACAGATTAAGCTAGTGGACAGAACTGTCAGATGGTGTGTAATGTTGCAAAATGTGAGGTAGCAGACTGGGATAGAAGAATAATAGTTGAGGATATGTCCTCAAAGTGGAAGCGTTAGGAGTGGGTAACTGAGGTGAAATACTTAGAGGTTTAAGTCCAAGGGTCATTAAATCTAGTTCACAGGTACAGTCAGTAAGCCAAATGGGATGCTGGCTTTTATTTACAAAAGGTCTAGTATTTGAAGGTAAGGAAGTGCCGTTCCAGGTATATAGTAGTTTATTGCACTTCCTGTGTTTTATAATAAACTTCTGGAGTATAGAGCGCTAGTCAGACGTCTTTTGGAGTTCTGTTTTCAATATAAGGCACCTCATATTAAGAAAAATGTAATAGCCTTGTAGGGTGTCCAGCAACAGTTCACTAGATTAATGTCTAGACTGAAAGGGTTTAGCTATGATGAAAGGCTGGTTATCCTGGGGTTATATATGTTAAAGCAGAGAAGGTTAAGAGGTGGCCTGATTAAGATATTTAGAATAATGAAAGGAATTGACAGGTTAGATAGGGGACACTTCATCTCTCTGGCATGAGATTAAGAAGTATTTCTTTCCATAGAGATTTGTGATGATGTGGAATGCTTTGTCTCAGAAAGAACAACAAAAACAACAACAAGATTACAATTGTATAGCGCCTTTCACATCGGGAGGAGGTCCCAAGGCGCTGGACAGTGTACAGCATTTAGACCCGAGCTGGGGTTGTGGGGGTAAGGGAGGGGAGGGGAAGGGTGGTGGCCGATGGCACGGTCGAAGAGGAGGGTTTTGAGGTGGGACTTGAAGGAGGCTAAGGAGGGGGTGAGGGGGAGTGACTGGGGGATGGAGTTCCAGAGGTTGGGGGCAAAGTGGCTGAAGGCTCTCCCGCCAATGGTGGGTCGGGGGACGTGGAGCAGGCCGGAGTCGGCTGAGCGGAGGGAACGTGCGGGTTGATAGGGGGTTAGGAGGTCGCAAAGGTAGGGTGGGGCAAGGCCGTGGAGGGCTTTGTATGTAAGGACCAGGATCTTGAACTGGATCCTCTGAAGGATAGGGAGCCAATGGAGTCGGGGGAGAATGGGGGAGATGGGGTCACAGAGTTTGGTGCGGGAGAGGACACGGGCTTCAGAGTTCTGGATTTTCTGCAGCCTGTGGAGGGAGGAGTTGGGAAGGCTGACAAGCAGGGGTTTGCATAGTTGAGCCTGGAGGTGATGAAGGCACGAACAAAAGTTTCAGGGGCCTGAGGGGTGAGGTAGTGGCGGAGTCAGGCAATGTTACGGAGGTGAGGGAAGGCAGAGCGGGTCATGGTTGGATGTGGGGAAGAAAAGTCAGTTGAGGGTTGAACAAGACCCCTAGGTTCCTGACTGGTTTGGTGAGTTGTAGTGTGCAACCATGGAGGGTGATGTTGCCAGAGCCTGAGGTGCTGAGGCGCTGGTGTGAGCCAATCAGGAGGGCCTCAGTCTTGTTCACATTCAACTGTAGGAAATTTGCCCTCATCCAGGACTTGATGTCCGACAGACAGTCTGTCAGGACAGCAGTGGTCCTGGAGTTGAGGGTGAGGCAGAAAGATAGAGTTGGGTGTCATCCGCATACATGTAGAAGTTGACCCCATGTCTGCGGATGATGTCACCAAGGGGGGGCATATAGATATTAAAGAGGAGAGGGCCAAGGACAGAGCACTGGGGGACACCAGACGTGGCAGTGCGGGGGCTGGAGGAGAAGCTGTTAGAGGCAACAAAGTGGAGACGGTGAGAGAGATAGGAATCGAACCAGACAAGGGCAGATCCGTGAAGATTAAGCAAAGAGGAGAGGCAGTGTATGAGGATGGAGTGGTCGACAGTGTCGAAGGCGGCAGAGAGCTCGAGGAGGACAAGGAGGCAGAGGGAGCCCTGATCACAGATGTTCTGAATGTCACTAGTGACTTTGACCAGGGATGTTTCCGTGCTGGAGGCAGCGCGAAAGCCGGATTGGAGGGGTTCAAAGAGGGAATGGCGAGAGATAAAGGAGCAGAGCTGGGATCCGATAACTCGTTCCAGGACCTTGGAGAGGAATGGGTGGTTAGAGATGGGGTGGTAGCTGGAGAGGAGGGATGGATCCAGGGAAGGTTTTTTCAGGATGGGAATGATGACGGCCATTTTTAGGGGGTTGGGAACTGAACCAGTGGACAGGGAGAGGTTGATGACATCGGACAGGAGAGGGGCCAGAAGGTGGAGCTGGGAGACATGAGAGAGAGATGATGTGGGGGTGGCTGTGGACGGGGCTGAGGTGGCTGAATGTATCCCCTTGATTTTAAATTCGAGGAAGTCCAGCATCTCCTCACAGTTAGAGTTTGAGGAGAGGATGGGCAAGGTATGGGAAGGTGGACGGAGGAGACGGTTCGTGGTGGAAAAGAGAAGCCGGGGGTTGTCCTTTGCCTCCAAGATAACCTTGGAGCAGAAAGAGTATTTGGCAGAGGCAAGAGCACAGCAGTAGATCTTGGTGTGGTGAAGCCAAATCTGCCGATGGACCGTTAGTTTGGATTTGGTCCAGGTGTGTTCGGCAGCTCGCACTTGTGCTTTGAGAGAACGGAGATGGCTGGTGTACCAGAGGTATTTACCAGAGTATGAGGCAGTTCGGGAGGTGAGGGGGGGGCAAGGGAAAAGAGAATGGAGGAGAGGGAGTTGTGGAGAAAGGAGAGTGAGGAGGGGAGATCAGTCAGTGAGGGCCAGAGGTGTAGGAGTGCAGATGACTCCAAGGCAGTGGAGAAGGAGAGGGAGGAAATTTTTTTCCATGGACAGTATATAATGGTGCAGGGTTGGGAAAGGGGAAGGGGTACTGAGGTGTTGAGGGAGATAATAATAATAATAATCCTTGCATTTGATATAGCGCTTTTCACGTCGGGAGGACGTCCCAAAGCGCTTCACAGAACACACTGTAAAGTGAATTGACTGTATATTTGTGGGCGAACGCGGCAGATGAAGTGGTGGTCTGAGATGGCTTTATCGACGATGGTGATGTCCGAGATGGTGAGGCCCCGGGTGATCACCAGGTCAAGGGGGTGGCCACAGACGTGGGTGGGGGAGTGAATGAGGAGGGAGGAGAAGTCGACAGAGGTAGAGCAGGAGGTGGTGAAGTGGAGGTTGAAGTCTTAGAAAGCTGTAGAGGTGGGATCAATAGGAATGTTTAATAAATAGTGCGGTACTAAAGAGGTTTAGCAAAAGCGCAAGGCATTGGGATTAAAAGATCTATCAAAAGCTAATTAAAAAAACATTTATTTTACTTTTATATAGCGCTTTTCGGGACATGCAGCTGTCTCAAACCATTTCACAGAAATTTTGGGAGTCCCAAGCTGAGGGAGGAGGGGGAGAATGTGGTTGAAAATAAAAGTATTAAGCTTAAAGGTGGGGAGAAAGGGGGTGGGCAGAGGCATTCTGAGACGGCCGAATAGTTGAAAATCATCTACCGATAGTGGGTCAGGTTGGGGGGGGACATAAAGTAGCCTGGTGTTCGCTAAGTAATAGAAATAGCTCGGGTGGTAAGCTTGCACAAGGATGCAGAGATAAGGTTGCACAAGGACACAGGTAAGGTGGGGCAAAGGCTTGGGATTTAAATGCGAGAACAAGGAATTTGAAATGGGCAATGTGGACAAGTGGAAGAGAAAAGAGCATAATAAACTGATGGAACAGGCTCAATGAATTGAATGTTGTCCTTCTGTTCTTGTTTTCCTATGTTCCTGAATCTATTTCACAACAAATAAAGATTGCAAGGGAAATATATTTTATGGGACATGATGTTCTGTGCTGCTGGAGAAGTGGAGAAAAACAAATTATGGTTGAATAGACTGAGATGTGGATGTGGAATTCTGTGAAATTTTGGCTTGGTTATCTTTGACACTCAGGGACATTCAGTTCTACCTTTGGATGTAGAATTTTCTCCCATGAAGTAATGGACAAGTGGAGTAAATAATGGAAACATAGAAACAATAGTAGGCCATTCAGCTCCTGGAGCCTGTTCTGCTATTCTATAAGATCTGTAACTCCTTGATCCCCTGAACTAACAAATATATAGGGTAGTCTCTAGATGGAGTGGGTTTGATGAGCCAAATTGTCTTTTTGTGTTCTGTGGGGTTTGTTGTTCTTATGATAACAAAACTACAGTAGTTAAAAGTTGTGTTGTTATTTTTTGAAGAGTATATTATCCCCAGAAAAGCGATTAACTAACAACCGGTTGCCTACTTACTGCTGGGGAATCAGAGGTATGTTGAATAAGGAAACTTGCCTAAGGTTTCGCCCTGCCCAGGAATTGAACACGGGTTCTTTCGCTTGCGAGCCAAGCGATCTAAATAATACACTACAGGATTCCACATACCTGGATGTATGACTTTACACAGAGAGTAATCAACTGTGGAATGAATTATCAGAAAGGGTGATGGAGGCCAGAATACTGAATTCAGTTAAGAAACAACTTGATGATGTACTGGGTCGGTTTTCTGGAAGGATGAGATCAAATTACCTTTACTTTTATACTTTTTTTTAACTTGTGCTTTTTTTTAAATTTCGAGCTGAATATTTTTTAAAAAATTGTTTTTTCAGTTTTTGGTAAACAGAGGCAAAGGATGGCAGCTGATACAATGGAAATTGATGATTCCTTATACAGGTAAGAACACAGATGAGTTACTCAAGTAAGTAATTACCTAAGTCCCAAAGTTGGTCTTACAGCACACTACATTAACCAAACATTGCTTTTGGATCAAATAGGAACTATTTTCAACTCTTACAGTTCATAGAATCATGGAATTGTACAGCACAGAAGGAGGCCATTTGGCCTATTTTGTCTGTGCCGGCTCTTTGAAAAGGGCTATCCAATTCAATGCCACTCCCCCGCTCTCTCCCTATCGCTGAAAATGTGTCCTTCCCAAATAATTATCTACTTCTCTTAAAAGTTGTTATTGAATCGGCTTCCACCACCCTTTCAGGCAATGCATTCCAGATCCAAACAACTCAATGTGTGAAAAGATTTCTTCTCACCTTCTATTTCTTTTAAATCGATGTCCTTGGGTTACTGACCCACCCGCCAGTGGAAATAGCTTCTCCTTGTTCACCCTGTTGAATCTCCTCATAATTTTGAAAACTTCCATTAAGTCTCCTCTTAACCTTCTCTGCTCCAAAGAGAATAATCCCAGCTTCTCGAGCCTCTCCTGATAACTGAAGTCCCCTATTCCTGGTACCACCTTGATAAGTCTCCTTTGCACCCTCTCCAATGCCTTGACATCCTTCCTAAGTGTGGTGCCCAGAACTGAACACAATACTCTAGCTGAGGCTTAACCAGTGTTTTATAAAGGTTTATCATAGCTTCCTGACATTTGTATTCTATGCCCCTATTTGTAAAGCCTAGTATCCTGTATGCTTTTTAACAGCTTTATCTACCTGTCCTGCCACCTTCAAAGATTTACTTATATGAATCCCCAGGTCTCTCTGTTCCTTCATCCCTTTAAGATTGTACCATCAGCTTATATTGCCTCTCCTCATTCTTCCTCTCAAAATGCATCACTTCACATTTCTCCACATTAAACTTCTTCTGCCATGTGTCTGACCATTTTACCAGTCTATCTATGTCCCCTTGCAGTCTGCTATGATCCTCCTCATTGTTACTACTTTTCCTAGTTTAGCATCATCTGCAAACTTGGAAATTGTACTCTATACCCAAGTCCAGGTCATTTTAGTTTTCTTTAAGGGGGATGGGGGGAGGGTCTTGCTGTGCAGAGATTTTTCTCATTGAGCTCTTGTTAACCTTGTGACCTTGGGATGTCCTCCCGATGTGAAAGGTGCTATACAAATGTAATCTTGTTGTTATCTTACAAGCTAAAGCCCTAATGGGTAGGGTACGAGCTTCATAAGCAGCACAGTGTTTCCAGGCAGTGTTTTCTATGGCAAGCTATCTAGTTTTATTTGATTAAACTCCAGGAGTACTCTTGACCACACTAGGGTTTCCAAGTCATGGCTCTTGGCAACCTTCAGCTATTAGTCTCTGGAGTAATCAGGATGCTTTCCTCCAGGGAGAGATGCACATTTTATTCCAAATACAAGAATTTCCATGTGTACGTGGCACTCATCGAACTCTGTCTGCTCTGGATCCTCTTAAGCAATGTGGTGGGTTTCCGCATGTGTCAGAACCTCTTTAGTTGACCAAAAAATGTCTCTCTTTCTCTCTTGACCTTATCAGGGTTGTGGATAACATCTGGAGCTCACTTAATGGCTCATTGGGTGAATACACAATCTGGTATGCTAATAATGTATGACGAGAAAGAAACAGGTTCAATCTTCCCTCCACAAGCTGTAGACCATCCAGAACTCTGCAGTTCATATCCTCTCCTGCACTAAGCTCTATAAGTCTTATCACGCCCATCTGTGCCATCTCCATTGGCTCCCCTTCCCTAGAGGATTGAGTTCAACAACCTCGTCCTCACTTTTAAATCCCTCCACAATCTTGCCCACCTCTGCAACCTCCTCAAGCCCTACCAACCTGGTCGCTCTCTTCACTCGGCAGGTGCTGGCCTGCTTCATGTTCCCCTGCCCTGCCACCGCACCATCAGCAGTTGGGCTTTCAGCCTATCTGCCCTATTCTGTGGAACTTCATTCCTGAGTCCCTTCACCTTATCCCTTCCCTCGCATCCTTCAAGGTCCAACTCAAGACCTTCCTCTTTGACTGTGCCTTTGGTCATCTTCCCACCCCAAACCTCTTGGTCCCCACCATTTCCGAATCCTCCCGAGCCCAAACCCCAGTATGGGTGCAAACTTAACTGTCTAGCGCCTTGGGACGTTCTCCCACTGTGAAGGGCTTTATATAAATGCAATATGTTGTTTTGATCTGTTCTGAGTTTGTTGATTTAAGAAAGCTACAGTTTAATTTTAGGCGATTACAGATTTAAGGAATTTCCCCTGTGCTGGGAAGGAATACATTTAACATAAGTATCTCTATGCTGAGATGGGAAACAATTAGCCTCAGCTCTTCTGCTCAGAAAGGAAAAAAGTTAATCTCAGCTCCTCTGTGTTGAGAGGTAGAAAATTAACAGGGTTCAGTGATGGAAAGAAATTGGACCTATCTAATATGTAAAGCAAATTAGCAACAAGATAGAATTTAAATTATGAGATTTTTTTGACTCAGGCTTCGGGTATGATTTACTGTAAGGTATAATTAACAATTTATCCTCTTCAGTACATACGCTTTTTGGGAGCGAACAAGATAAGATCTTTAAAGTGGTTGAAAGAGGTATAAGGAAGCTACTTAATGTGATTTGATTGGCAAATCTGAAGGACTCAGGCCTTCTATACATCCCTGAAGAGGATGATCTTCAGATCGCATCTGAAGACCGTCCTCTGACTGTGCCTATGGTCATCTCTGCTCACTCTGTGTCAAGCTCCACCCATGTTAAGTGCTCTGAGATGCTAGGCGCTATATAAGTGTAATTTGTTGTTTCATTTGTCCAGGAGATCGGGAGAAACTTCCCTTCTTCGAACAGTGCCACAGAATCTTTAAAATCCACCTGAACAGACAGTTATGTCCTTGGTTTAACGTAGTATGTGTCTCATCATAAGTAAAGGGACTTGGTTCAAATGACGTTTTCTTGTTCCATACTATTGTTTTTTTATTGGCTTCATTAAGTTTGAGGTTTGTGGAGTCATGGTGCTGTGGGATTGCATGGAAGGACCTATAAAAGGGGCCCATAGCACCATGCATATACTTGCTAACATTTATGATTTTTGGTGTAATTATTATGGCTTATCTTTGACACTGTGAATGTGGTTGCTTTATATCAAGTCCCTTATTCACAAAGACACATGTTTGTAATGATGTGTGTGTCCGAAGTAGATTGTTTGCCAAACAGAATAAGGAGTTGAAGCGCACTCTGCTTAAAGCATCAGCGTGATTGGTATACATTGCAATGCTTTTCCAGATGCAGGTTATTGACCAGATGTTGCATCAATAAGGTGGAGAAAGCAGATTAAAACTGAGGTGCATTTATCCATTATTTTTATCCCTATGCCTTCCGCCCTCTTTTTTTCACATGTTTCTTTCTATGCAGCCGTCAGAGATATGTGCTTGGAGACAATGCAATGCATCAGATGGCCCAGTCCCATGTTTTCCTAAGTGGCATTGGTGGCTTGGGTGTGGAGATTGGTAAGTAATCTTTTTGCTGCATTTTCTTTGGTTCACTATGTGGCTAGACTCGTATTTACCAAATGCAGGAGTTTTTCACATCTAGGCTTGTTGGATATCGACTGTGATCCCGATGTGAAAGGCAGTATACAAATGCAATTTGTTTGTTGTTATTGATCTGGAGATCGAATGAGTCTCATACACCATTTAAAAATTAGACATCTTACAAAAAAAATTAAAAGGGAGCCCAAATTTGTGAGGAGAAGAAGCCTATTTTGTGTCTGACACACATCCGAGTCTCCAAGCCAGGTGTTAAATTAATATTGAGAATTCAGGTTGAGTGTTGAATATTTATAACAATTCAACCTTAATATGGAATATTTATAACAGTTAAGATTTATGTAGAATAACCCTCATATTTGCGTCTGAGACTAACTACTGTGAATCAATGTTAGTTGAGGTATTAATTTACCTTCGAAAGTCAGCTTCCTTGGGGCAGATAATTTTATCTCCCTCATTGGCTCAGTTTAACCTCAGCCTCCCTCAGTTTAGCAAAGGTCAGAATAGCAAAGATACTCAAAGTGACAGAAAAACAAAATGATGGTCATAATGCTTTATAAAGTTTCTTTAAAAGGGACAACCCCTGATTTCATATGGTGAAATGCAGCTCCAAATTAATCCAAATGCATTTTCATTGATGGCAAGAAGTTTTTCACTTGCCATTGTTTTGCAGCTAAAAACATTTAGAAGTGTTACGTTTGAATTCTCTCCAAACATGCCTATATATTGGGATATTTCAATGCATTTTGGGAAGAAATGTACTTGCACATGTGCAAACCTACACTTTGCTCCCCCAATGCTAGTTTCTAATGGATTTGAAGCATTCAACTGATGTTTTAGAAAACTTCTTAGATCTTTTCACTGTCTGTTTTTGCTCCTTGACCATCGTAACCTTTTATTTGAAAAGACTGCAGGAATAAAATGATAAGAGAGGATGAAATATCTATGGAAACAGACTTAATTCACTGCAGCACCAACTAGCATGTTCTTTTTGTGCACTTATAAATCAATCCCTCTTCTGATGGGCTAGATTTGACAGCTGCAGAGCTTGAGGTTACCAGACATCGATACATGTCCAGTATTGTGAGGCAGAACAACATGAATAACAAATGAAATCCGGGAACAGGCTACAAGACTGCAGCACTCAAGAGAGTCGGTGACGAGCTGCAAAATTAAAGCTCTGCTGGTTTATTCAGTCCTTTTTACATGTGCTTTAGTCTTGAACACTATAATTGGCAGGATGGTAGCGGTTAGGAGGTCTATTGTTTGCTATTGTTTCTCCTAGATCTGTTAGAGATGCAGTTTTAGTTTGTTCTGTGCCAGCTAAATTTTCTTCCCTTTTACACGATTCCAATTCAAGAGCAGGATATCATTGGATCAGATGACCACATGGGAAGGTTTTACTGAGAAATTATTCAATTTGTGATGTCTAGAGTGTAACCCACATGGGGAATATACAGTACATAAGAAATTACTGTGATTTTGACTGATAGACAGATGACAGTCAGAGTCTCTGCTTTAAAATTAATAGATTCAAATTAATTTTGTTTTCTCTGTTTTGCATTATCAAGGAGTTGAATGTAAAGTGATATAAATTTGATTGTCCCATAAAACTTTAGGTGAAGTTTTTATTTTACTGACACTCCAACTAAAATAAGAGAAGTTTTTAACAAGTGGTTGAAAGCAATCAACAACAACAAAATTACATTTATAGAGCGCCTTTCATGTCGGGAGGACATCCTAAAGCGCTGAACAGTCAGATGTCAGGGCCCGAGCATGAGGGAGGGGTGATCTAGGGGCGCGGGAAGGCAGAGAGGTGGGAGGGCGACCAAAGGTATGATCGAAGAGAAGGGTCTTGAGACCGGCCTTGAAGGAGGGAAGGGAGGAAACAAGGCTAAGGGACCGTGGGATGGAGTTCTAGAGTGTGGGGGTAGAGAAGTTGAAAGTCCGGCCACCGATGGTAGGGCGGGTCGGGCGGGAGACATGGAGCAGGCTGGAGCCTGCTGAACAGAGGGAGCGGGCAGGTTGGTAGGGAGTAGGCAGGTTAGAGAGATAGGAGGGGGCAAGGCCATGAATGGTTTTGAAAGTGAGGACGAGAATCTTGAATTTGATCCTCTGGGGGATGGGGAGCCAGTGGAGTCGGGAAGTGATGGGGTCGAGGAGCCTGGTGTGCAAGAGTACACGAGCTGCAGAGTTTTGGATGATCTGCAGCTTGTGAAGGGAAGAGTTGGGAAGGCCGATGAGGAGGGAGTTTCCATAATCAAGCTTTGATATGACGAATGTGTGGGTGAGGGTTTCGGCAGCCTGAGGGGTGAGGCAGTGGTGGAGTCTGGCAATGTTGTGGAGGTGGTGGTAGGCAGTGCCGGTCATGGCCCAGATGTGGGGGAGAAAGGACAGTTCAGGGTCAAACAAGTTACCCAGATTCCTGACTGACTTTGTGAGGTTGAGTGTGCAGCCGTGGATGCTGATGCTGCCAGCGCCCGAGGTGCGGAGGCGTTGGCGCGAGCCAATCAGGAGGGCCATGGTTTTGCTGACGATGAGTTGGAGAAAGTAGTCCCTCGTCCAGGACTTGATGTCGGACAGGCAGTCGGTCAGGACGCCAGTAGTCCTGGAGTTGAGGGTGGAGGCAGAGAGATAGAGTTGGGTGTCATCCGCATACATGTGGAAGTTGACCTCATGTCCTCAGATGATGTCAGCAAGAGGGAGCATGTAGATGTTGAAGAGGAGTGGGCCAAGGACAGAGCCCTGAGGAACGCCTCACGAGATGACCAAAGGAGAAACTTTGTGGAGATGAAGTGGAGACTGTGTGAGAAGTAGGATCTGAACCAGAAAAGTACAGAATCAGGAAGGTTGAGGTGAGAGGAGAGGCGGTGGTTGAGGATTGAGTGGTTGACAATTATCGAAGCCAGTAGAGAGGTCAAGGAGCACCAGGAGGCGGAGGGAGCCCTGGTCGCAGATAGACAGACAATTGGAATTCATTTCTTGTTTTCAATAAAAATAATTAGCTAAGAACTCATCAACTTGCTGTCTATTCTGTCAGCAGCAGAGCCTTGATCGGTTGGATGCCCTTAAATTCTGAGTAGAAGTAATTGTGATATAATTGGGATGACTTTGTTGTCTTTCTGATGTGCTATGTTATGGGTTCCACGTTCTTGACTTGCCATTTCTTCGTTGCTATGCTACCAATGTGTCATGGATACAAGAACATTGTCTATATCAATGTGTTACTGATAAGGTTTTCTATAGCTTTGACATGACAAAAGCAAGACACTCCTTGAAAGCATTGCCCTTTCCAAATTTGCTGTAAAACCTCAGAATTATATTTATTCTAATGCATTACTTGCTGTAATGTTTTGGAACAAATATTGGGGGAGTCGGACGAGTGTAGTAGCTCTTTCAAAGAGCCAGCACAGGCACGAATGACCGAATGGCCTCCTTCTGTGCTGTAAGATTCTATGAATGCAAACATTTTATTATGGGCAGCTTCAAATACATAAAAATTACTGTGTAGGGGATTATTTTGCATTACTGTAGAACTTTGGTTTTAAACATTTAACAGCTGCATTCAGCCAATAACCGTGGCTCACTAGGGCCTAAGAACTTGGTTAGAGCAATGTGATTGACAGGTACAAGCAATTGATGAGTAAGAAGCAATACCAGCTTCTTGCAGCATTCATTCTCTACTGTTTTCCTTCCTTTTCCCTCACGAGGATGGGCCAATTCGCCTATTGGGGTCAACTTCTTTTAATAAACATGAGGGAGAAGGAAATAGAAGTGGGGGCTTGTGGGGTGTAGAATAGGATGGGTTGAGGCTCATGTGGATTATAAACAACGGCATGGACTAGATAGGCCAAACGGCCTATTTTAGTGCTGTAACGTTTTGTGTAATTTGGGGACATTAGTGACTGGTCTTTTTTCTTTGCAGCAAAGAACATTATTCTCGCTGGTATCAAGGTAAGCTGAATCTTCTGTTAGTCACTATTCTCCAGTTACAAATGAGAATAAAGGTTTCAGAAATAATTGCCTCCTTTGGCAGTGCTGAATAGTGCTGAAAGTTTAGTAGAAGTTAAAGCACTTTTAGAGCTTGTCTTTTATTAATGGGCATGAACAGTTCTCACAAGTAACCACTCATCTGTGTTCTAGAAATGTGCCTTCCTCACACTCACTTCTTTTAATATTGATGTCTTTCAGGACCTAACAACTACTCTACATTATAATAATAATGAACCTTGCATTTGATATAGTGCCTTATCACGTCTTCGAGATGTATATTTTGTGGGCGACACACGGCATTGTGTATTCTGTGCAGGCTTCTGCTAACACTTTCAGTCTCTGAAAGATTGATGTATTGTAAGCTGACACTGACTTTTTTTATCAAATGAACCAAAACAAGTTTATTTACAGGATAGCACAATTAAATACAGAAGAGGATAGAACACAAACCATAGAATAGGAAAACTTAACATATTGAAGAAATCTCGCAAATGAAAGTCAAAAAGTATTTTGATGAGTGAAATTCCTGAATGTGATGAAATTAATTCTTATCTGACCTCATTGTTGTGATACCCTGTTTTAACTGCCCCGGTTCTCTGGAACTCTATCCAGGAGTCCCTCCAACTCATTTCCTCCCTGCCCTTGTTCATGGTATATCTCAAAACATGCCTCTTGCACTTACTTTCCCCTTCCTCCCCTTCAGCTCGCACTCCTGATTGAGTGCCCATTCAGCATTGCTAAATGTTTTGGGATATGCCCCTGACATGAAAGGTGCTAAATAAATATATTTAATTCTTTAGCTATCACTTGATTTTTGGGAAGGCAGTGTATGTTGATGTAAATATTTTCTCTTTTGCTAAAGGCGGTGACCATTCAAGACACTGTAATATCGCAGACATGGAACCTAGGGACTGCCTTTTTCATAGATGAGGAGGATGTGGCCAACCAAAGAAACAGGTAAGTATTCCATCAGTACTGACAAACATTTGTTGGTTCATGCACTCTGGAAATGCCAGAGAAAACTGGCACTGAGCCCAAAGCAACATATTTTGCTATATGTGGGGATTAAATAGAATGATTCCTTTCCCTATTTAATATTAAAATCTAAATTGTAAATACATCCTAAATCAAATGTAAACACCTTCTAAATGTTGTAGAAAGGTTAAATCTGTCTAATATTATTGTCATTTTTTATACATTTTGAATGTCTTTTACGAGCGCTGAATTGGACAAACCTCATATTTTTATTATAATAATAATAATAATAATAATCGTTGCATTTGATATAGCGCTTTTCACGTCTTATAGACGTCTCAAAGCGCTTCACAGAATATGCTGTAAAGTGAATTGACCATATATTTGTGGGTGAACGCGGCAGTCAATTACGCACAGCAGTGTCCCACAAACAGTCGTGGATTGAAAATGACCAATTTATAATTGTTTTTGTTTTTGGAGGGATTATTATTAGGCGTGTGGAGTAAGGAAACTTGCCCATGGTTTCGCCCTGCCTGGAATTGAACTCAGGTGTCTCGCTTGGAAAGCGAGTGCTCTAAGCACTGAGCTACAGGACTGCGTATTAATACGATGCTGTACTCATTCTAAAGTTTCAAAAAAAATCAAGCTATTTATGTGAAACATACAGGTCAGAATTATTTTCTTACATCAGCAATCTATTTTAATTTGCAGAGCTAAAGCTACAATTTCACGCCTGGCAGAGCTGAACCCTTATGTCCAGGTTAATGCATCCACTGTCCCTCTGGATGAAAATACAGATTTGACCTTTCTACAAAATTATCAGGTGAGAAGATCTAAATGAAAACCTTACCACTATACCTCTATCTCTGTCCCTCATAGATGCTGCAAAGTAACCACAGATGCAGTTTTACTTGATATTGACTCTGTATATTTTTTTGCTGATAAGCACTTGCCTGTTCATGTGCAGGATTTACCTTGATTAAAGCATGAATACCCTCTACAATGTTTGCTGCTGTCCTCACAAGGATATCTGCTGATACCCTTTTCCCCCTAAATCAGCAATAACAATCTTGTTGACATTACAAGCAGCTGCCAGAGTTTTGATTGACCCTTCAAATTCAGAAAGGGCTGTCAGAGTCTAAAATATGATATTCCAATCTGCGTTTGCAATGTTAATTGCAGTTTAATGATTTTGCATTTGGTATAATGCGTTTGATGTCAAGATGACTCAATCAGTTACAGATGTTTAGTGACTGTGCATTTGCAGAGCATGGCATCCACTTTGCGCACCTCAATTTCTGACAAAAATTTGTTGATTCATGCACTCTGAAAACAGCCAAGAGGTGAATGACCAAATGATCTGAATGACTAAGAAGCTTTCCGTTTTGATTGCTGTAATTTTTTTTGGTCAGCTGGGTGTTTGACGAATGCAGAAACTCATCACCATTTTAAGAGTATTCAAACCAAACAGAGTTCCATGTATATATATATATATATATATATACCACCAATGCATGGAAATTTCCCTGTTTCTGGGATGGAATGCACACTCACTCCCTGGAGGGATGCATCCTAATCTGCACTGGAGTCTCAGCTAGACTGTGAGCTCAAATGTAATGTTGTTGACAGATCACTGATCCCAACTCAGGAAAGAAAAGCAGACAAGTTGATTGTTCCAAGCCGTGGCTGCTAAATGCAGAAACTCTTTCTCCCCCACCTCCTCTCGCCAGAAATTGTAGTGTAATCCAACATTGCATCTTTATTCATAGCAATGTTTTCTCTTTCCTTTCCAGTGTGTGGTTTTGACAGAGACCCAGCTTTCGCTTCAGAAGAAGATCAATGCCTTTTGCCGTTCGCAAGATCCCCCCATTAAGGTAAAAGCTCTATATTACTGAATTAAAGCCATTCGGGTCCCGTAAATAACCAAGGGTCCTGTAAATAACTGGGTCTGTAAATAACCAAGTACTCTGCTTATTAAGCGCTCTGAGACTCTACCCTGGGTGTAGGGTGCTATATAAGTGCAAGTTGTTGTTATTCAATGTTAAATTTTCCATCCGGTATGAAAGCCATCTACGCCATACTAAAAAAGAGGACCATTTGGCATTATTGTATTATTTCTATCTTCCTTTGTACAATTGTGACGAAAGGAACCTACTTCAATGAAAAAAGTGTTTTTTTCACACAGCAAAATTGGACCTTCCTTGGCTTTTAAATAGGAAAGCTATTGTTCTTGCATGAGATTGGGAGAGGGAGTTCATTGAAATTTATTTTGTTGGGTTGCTGTTGCTATAGCTACAAATGATGGATGGCGTCCACTTTATACCATGCACTACGGGCTACGTTTCACCTCCCGTAGGCCATGATGCTCTGCTTTCCCCTGAAAGCCCCCTCACCCGAGCCCCCTCACCCCCGCCCTCCCTCCTCTCTACCCCCAAACCCTCCCCCCTCTGCATCTGTCCTCTCTCTCTGTCCCTCTCGCCTTCTATCCCCACTTGACCCTCCTACAACCTCCCTCTGTTCCAGCCTGGGAATCCTCCGCCGAGCCCACCGTGGCACTCGGCGTTGGCTGTCCAGCAGCAGCCACACCGACTGACCCATTCCCCACCACACTCGCCAGCCACCCCGGACACAGACCCGGGGAGCCAACCTCTCCTCCCTCATCCCCTTACCCCCCACCCCTGCTTCACAACCTGGACTCCCCTCCCCTCCCACACACTCTTCTGTCAACCGCTCTCTCCACATCAGACTACAAAACGTCCGCTCCCTCTGTAACAAGGCCCTGGTCATCAACGATCTCATCCTTGATGAGAGCGTTGACATCATGGCCTTCACGGAAACCTGGCTCACCTCCTCACAGAGGCCACACCACCCGGCTACACCTTCCACCACATCCCTCGCCCCAACCGCCGTGGCGGTGGTGTAGCCCTTATCTCAAGGACACCACTTGCTATATCCCCCTACTCCTCTGGCTCTTTCCCCTCTTTCGAGCACCTCATCCTCCTTCCTCTCACTCAAAATCCTCCTCCTCTACTGGCCCCCTAAAACCTCTCCCTCCTTCATCTCTGATATTTCAACACTTCTTACATCTCTCTGCCTCTGCTCTGATCGCCTCATCATCCTGGGTGACTTCAACCTGCACTTCACCCCCTCCTGCTCCATTTCTTCAGACTTCTCTTCCCTGCTCTCCTCGCTCAACCTTTCCCTCCACATCAATTCCCCCACTCACAGTCACAGCCACCCACTCGACTTGGTGATCACCCGGGGCCTCAGTGTCTCGGATGTCACTATCACCGACAAGGCCGTCTCCGACCACCACTTCATCTCCTTCACCACCTCCATCCCCCTCCCCACCTCCACCAGACCCACCACCATCTTCTACCTACCGCTCCACTCTAGCCTCGGCCAAGTCGTCCTTCTACTCCAGGATAATCCTGGAGGCGAAGAACAACCCCAGGCTACTGTTTTCTAGCACATCCCGACTCCTCCGTCCCCCCCGCCACCCCGCGCAGGTCATCTCCTCCAACCTTCACTGCAAGGAGATGCTGGATTTCCTTGAATCCAAAATCAAGGGAATTCGCTCCGCGGTCACTTCCCCTCCAACATCCACCCACCACCCACCCCTTCCCTCCCACACTCCGACTCCTACCCATCCTCCCCTACACACTTTCGTACCCGTTTCCCCACCCTCTGTCACCAAACTCATCCTATCCCTGAAACCCACCACCTGCTCCCTTGACCCCATCCCCACTCCACTCCTTATCTCCCAGCTCCACCTCCTTGCCCCACATATCACAGACATCGTCAACCTGTCCCTCTCCTCTGGCTCTGTTCCCATTCCCTTAAAAACTGCCACCATCACTCCCACCTTGAAAAAACCCTCCCTTGATGCGTCGCAGCTATCAAGCTACCGGCCCATCTCCAACCTCCCCTTCCTGTCCAAGGTCCTGGAACGAGTTGTCGCCTCCCAGCTGCGCTCTTTCTTCTCCACCCATTCATTATTCGAACCCCTTCAGTCGGGTTTCCGTGCTGCCCATAGCACAGAAACTGCCCTGGTCAAGGTCACCAATGACATCCTGACCATCTGTGACCAGGGCTCCCTCTGCCTCCTCGTCCTCCTCGACCTATCGGCAGCATTCGATACGGTCGACCATGCTATCCTCCTCCACCGCTTGTCCTCCCACCTCAACCTTCAAGGCCCTGTCCTTGAGTGGTTTAGGTCGTACCTCTCCCACCGTCTTCACTTTGTTTCCACGAACGGCTTTTCCTCCAGCCCCCGCACTGTCTCGTGCGATGTCCCTCAGGGCTCTGTCCTCGGTCCCCTCCTCTTCACCCTCTATATGCTCCCCCTGTGGTGACATCATCCGCAAACATGGGGTTAACTTCCACATGTATGCGGATGACACCCAACTCTACCTTTCCTCCTCTACCCTCAACTCCACGACCACCGATGTCCTGACAGCTGCCTGTCCGACATCGAGTCCTGGACGAGAGACAACTTTCTTCAGCTCAACGTGCGTAAAACTGAGGCCCTCCTGATTGGCTCACGTCAGCGCCTCCGCACCTCAGATACTGACAGCATCAGCATCCAAGGCTGCACTCTCCACCTCTCAAAGCCAGTCAGGAACCTCGGCGTTTTGTTCGATCCTGAGCTGTCCTTTCTCCCTCATATCCGCACCACAACTGGCACCGCCTTCCATCACCACCGGAACATCGCCAGACTACGGCATTACCTCACCCCTCACGCTGCTGAAACTCTGGTCTACGCCTTTATCACCTCAAGGCTGGACTATGGGAACTCTCTCCTCGTCGGCCTTCCCGCCACCTCCCTCCACAAGCTGCAGGTCATTCAGAACTCTGCAGCTCGTGTACTGTCCCGCACCAGGCTTCGGGACCACATCACTCCCACCCTCGCTCGCCTCCACTGGCTCCCCATCCCCCAGAGGATCGAATTCAAGATCCTCATCCTCACCTACAAGGCCATTCACGGCCTTGCTCCCCCCTACCTCTCTGACCTACTATCCCCCTACTTACCTGCCCGTACCCTCCGTTCCTCTGGCTCCGGTCTGCTCCACATCCCCCGCCCCAACCGCCCTACCATCGGTGGCCGGGCCTTCAGCCTCTCAGCCCCTAGGCTCTGGAACTCTATCCCCCAGTGCCTTCACCGCCTCCTCCCTTTCCTCCTTCAAGGCCGGTCTCAAGACCTTTCTCTTCGACCGTGCCTTCAGCTCCCCTCTCGACTCTCTACCCCCTCCTCGCTCCCTCCCTTCACCCTGACCATTTCCCTCCCAATGCTCGGGTCCTGACCCAACTGTACAGTGCCTTGGGACGTCCTCCTGACGTGAAAGGCGCTCTATAAATGGAATCTTGTTGTTGTTGTTGAAATGCACACTCCATCCTTTTGTGACCCTCAATTATCCTTTCTACCCCACATTGGTGCCATGACCCGCTTTGCCTTCCCCCACCTCCGCAACATTGCCTGGCTCCACTACTGTCTCACACTGCAGGCCGCCGAAATCTTCATACACACATTCATAACATTCAGGCTTGACTATGCAAACTCCCTGCTTGTCGGCCTCCCCATCTCCTCCCTCCATAAGCTGCAGATATCCAGAACTCTGCAACCCTTTGCCTGACTCCACTGGCTTCTCATTACACAGAGAATACAGTCCAAGATCCTGGTCTTCACCTTCAAAGCCCTCCATGGCCTCGCTGCCCCCTACCTCTGCGACCTCCTAACCCTCTACCAACCTACCCGCTCACTCTGCTCAGCGGGCTCCAGCCTGCTTTACGTCCCCCACCTCACCCGCCCCACCATTGGTGGGCGGGCCTTCCACCACTCTGCCCCCACCCTCTGGAACTCCATCCTGCAGTCCCCCCGCCTTGCCCCCTCCCTTGGCACCTTCAAGACCCATCTCAAGACCTTCCTCTTTGACTGTGCCTTCGATCAACCTCCTTCCCCCCCTGCCCTCCCCGTCCCAACCCCCAGCTCGGGTCCGAAACACTGATTGTCCAGCGCTTTGGGACATTCTCCCGAAGTGAAAGGCACTACACAAATGTAATTTTGTTGTTGTTGTTGAAATTTGGAACATCCCTGTGCACTTGCAGACAAGGCACTGTTGATGATGGACTAGCCATCTTGGCTTATTAGCAGGCCTTGGAGGAGGTCTCTCAGCCCAGCTAATGGGCAGGATCCTCCCATTAAGGTACAAGCTCTGTATTCCTGAATTAAAGCCATTCGGGTCCTGTAAATAACCAATTACTTTCTTATTTGGATTCTCTTAACCCATCAAGCCATGGTCCTACAAGAACAACAAGGTTCCATTTATAGAGCGCCTTTCACGTCGGGAGGACATCCCAAGGCCCTGTACAGTTGGGTCAGGACCCGAGCAGGGGGGAAGTGGTCAGGTTGAGGGGAGGGAAGGGAGGGAGCGAGGAGAGGGTAGAGAGTCGAGAGGGGAGCTGAAGGCACGGTCAAAGAGAAAGGTCTTGAGACCGGCCTTGAAGGAGTAAAGGGAGGAAGCGGCGAAGGCACTGGGGGATAGAGTTCCAGAGCCCTAATGGTTAGGTTAGGCCTTAATTGAATAAGCAGTCAATGTTCGCAATGGTTTTAGTTGGTTAAACTCCTGCAGAACCCCAATGTACACTCAGATCCAAGGCATGGCTCTTTCCAACCTCGGTCTAAACTCTCTGGAATGAGGTACGTAGTGTACATCCTTCCAGTAAGGGAATGCACACTCCATACCAGGCAAATGCAAATCTCAGTTGTTTGTTTTAAATACATTTAAGCATAGAATGGACATGTGTGTCAGACACACAACTGACTAAAACAAAATAAAACAAAATACCGTTGAGAATGATGTTGGATGGATCAAAGAGGTTGTGCCTCTGGCTGATCCAGGAATAGTTGATGTGTAAAATTAGAAATTTAAATAGACTCCAGTATGAACGTGCACATTCCTTGCCTTGTTTTTCATGCCAAGGATTACTGTAGTCCACAGAGCTATCTTGGTGAGAGTTTTGATCATGTTTTTTTGCTGCTTCTAGTTCATCAGTGCTGATCTGTATGGAGTCTTCTGCCGTGTCTTCTGTGACTTTGGGGATCATTTTGAAGTATCTGATTCCAACGGAGAAGAACCAAAGGAAATCTTCATTCACAATATAACCCAGGTATTGCCTGCAGAAAGTGTGCTTGTCCTTGTGTTGGGCCTGTAATATTGCAAGTTCTCCATCAGCCTCACCTGCAGGTGTAGAAGTAGAAAACGGCAAATGTTGAAAATCTGAAATAAAAATAAGAAATTGCAAGAAATGCACAGCAGATATGAACACTGAAGATAAGATAATATTTTGGACCTTCATCGTAATTGAGGAGTCTCTTGTAAAATTAGTAGAATATGTGAACTTCTGACTTCCTTACAACCATGGAAATGTATTGTACTTATATTGCTTATACCTTCGGATGATATACTCTTGCTGAGGTGCCAGCAACTAGAATGCTAAAGATTTTTGTATGAGCCTCATGGACTTATCCACCAGGAATAGATTTAAAGTAAATTATGCCATTCACTCCCCTCCATAACTCTGTCTATCCCTCCAAAAATGTTGGTGAGGTTAGGAGATGCATAGACCTCCTGTTCACATGATATGAATGTTTCATCTTAATTTAACAACAACTTGTATTTGTATAACATCTTTTACACGGGGCAGCGTCTTGGAGTGATAACCGTACTTATTACAGGCAATAATAAGCCATTTGGCCGTGAAGCCATTAAAATTCCATTTAGACGCCCACAAAGGATATTGTGCAGAAGCTTTTTGAATATGATATTTATGACATGAGTGAAGGACACCACATAGCAAATGAGCAGTTACTGAAGTCTGTTTTTACAGGTTAGTTGTGCAGCACAAGACTAATTAATAGTTCCCCACATCCTGTCACCTCACTGAAACACTGAAACCCTCCATCCCCACCTGTACCCCACCTGCCCCAATGTAATTTTGTTGTTGTTAGGTTTTTTTCTCACACGGTTAGAATAAAATTCATTTTCACATAAATATAAAAATAATCCTTGCATTTGATATAGCGCTTTTCACGTCTTCTAGACGTCTCAAAGCGCTTCACAGAATATGCTGTAAAGTGAATTGACTGTATATTTGGGGGCGAAACATGGCAGCCAATTGCCTACAGCAGTGTCCCACAAACAGTCGTGGATTGAGTGACCAAATTGTTATTTATTTATTTCTTTGAGGGATTAATATCAGGCAAGTGGAGTAAAGAAACCTACTCCCAAGGTTTGGCCCTGGCAAGAATCAAACCCAGGTCTCTCGCTTGCGAGGCGAGTGCTGTAACCACTGAGCTACAGGACTCCATCTGCTTGAGTTAGTGGCTATTTATTGCAGCAAGTATTTCTTTAAACATGTGTAATAACCAGCTGGAATGAGTTACAACAACAACAAAATTACATTTATAGAGCGCCTTTCACGTCGGGAGGACGTCCTAAAGCACTGAACAGTCAGGGGTCGGGGCCTGAGCATGGAGGAGGGGTGGTGTAGGGATAAGGGAAGGCAAAGAGGTGGGAGGGAGACCAAAGGCACGGTTGAAGAGAAAGCTCTTGAGACCGACCTTGAAGGAGGCAAGAGAGGAAGCGATGAGAAAGGACCATGGGATGGAGTTCCAGAGTGTGGGGGCAGAGAGGCTGAAAGCCCGGCCACCGATGGTAGAGCGGCTTGGGCGGGAATCTTGGAGCAGATCGGAGCCCGATGAACGGAGGGAGCGGGCAGGTTGGTAGAGAGTCAGCAGGTTAGAGAGAAAGAAGGATGATGGAGGCCAAGATCCCGAATCATTTCAGAAGCAACTTTTGCTATAATGCGGGTGATTATTCTGGGGAAAGAGCTTCTTCATCTGTACCTCTTGTGAATATTCCTTTTGCAGTGCAATCCTGGAGTTGTGACGTGCATGGACAATCGGACGCATGGGTTGGAAACAGGACAGTTTGTGACTTTTCGGGAAATCAATGGGATGTCAGAGTTGAACAGGACTGCGCGGCAAATAACAGGTAAGATGTTCCATTTATACAATTATTTGCAAAGTGGCTTTACTGGAAGCCTATTCCTGCAATACAAATACAAAAGAGACCCTCTGAGTCAGAAGGTGGTAGGTTGAAGCCAGTCGTCAAATCTTTGATCTCACAGTACTGCGGAACCAAACAAAATTTTCATTCAGAATGTAACAAGAGTTCCTGTGAAACTCTGTTTGCTTTGGTTCTCTTCAACATGGTGATGAAATTACACACATGTGACACCTGGCTCACTTATTTTTTTAAAAAAGCTAACAGTGGAGTGCTAGTGATTTGCTGCACTGTTGAAAGTGCTGTTCTTTAGATGAGATGTTAAACCAAAGTCCCATCTGCCTGTTCAGGTGGATTTCAAAAGGTCTCTGGACAGAGAAGAGAGTTTTTCCTGGTGTCCTGACTAACAAACCCCAAGTAAAATTGATCATTAGCTTCAGGGCTGTTTGCGGGAAATTGTTGTGTGTTAATTGGCTTTGTTGTGCATATGCAAAGCAGGAAGTAACTTTGGTATCAACCTTTTGTCCTGGTGGAGAGAGTACGCTTTCCATTCCAGACCCAGGGAAATTTCCATGTGTAGGTGCCATAAATGTGTGGAATCTGTCTGCTTTGGTTCTCTTGAGTGTGAAATGATGGATTTACACATGTGTCAGACACCCGGCTAACGTGAAAAAAACTACTCCAAAAATCCATATTCTCTAACTCACTTTTTTTTATATAAAAGCTGCAGAACCATAAAAAATCGCTATATAACAGATGGATATTTCAGAGGTTCTCAAACTATAGGGCGTTCACCAAGGGGAGGCGCCAATTGTATGCCTCCCAACAGTCCTGGGTTTCAGGACTGGCTCCATGTCCCAGCAAAGCCACTTTCCTGACAACCAAATCCACAACGACAATTCCTGCTGCAACAATCCCCGTGACAACTTTGTTGGGCGGGTAGACATCCAGACTGATTGACACGGGTGTAGAACATTACTAGGCTCCGGTCTGAATCAGGCCACCAATCGGAGTGCAAGGAGGGAGGTGGACTGCTTTATGAAATACAATTAGTGCTTTTGACACTCGTGCTCTTATTATAACTATATTTATCAAACCCTTTTACTTTATTATTGCAAAGTATAGGATTTTCAGTTCTTTGTGTTGTTTTAATAAACTATGGGGGCGCAATTTTTTTCTTCTTAGCTTATGTTCTTCTTAGTTCACTGTGACAAAGTTTGAGAATCCTGGGAAATTTGACCAATCAAATCTTTGCTGGTGAAAGAACCGACAGTTGTTATCCAAGTTCGATGTGTACTCCCCTGCACTATGGGGCCAAATGCTTTACAAGGTTTGCATCAAATCAGTTTAGGAGTGCCGTGTAGCCTCCACATTGCTGTGTGCTGCCTGCCACGAATAAAAACAATAGCTATTCATATAAGCACCTGTTAACCTGTCATTATATTTTCATTTACAGACAGAAACAGAATGCAGTGGTTGGGAGTTCTGGGTTATTTATCTCTTTGAATAATTGTACAATTGAACAATGAATTTGTTCATTCATTGAGACCATTATAGAACTCCATGCACAGTTCTGTTACTCCTCCTTATCTGAGTATTCACACACCCAAGTCCTTAGTTGTATGCTGGAGCCAGTGAATCGTTTCAATAGGATAAAATAGGCAATGTTTCTGTGCCTTAGAATTTTATCAAAGTTTAACTGTTCTGCTCAACATAATTTTTCAGTAACATCAGTGCTATGTTTCTTTTCAGTTGTGTCCCCATATTCTTTTAGTATTGGAGATACATCAAACTATAAACCATATTTACATGGAGGAATTTCTTTGCAGTTGAAAATATCCAAAAAGTTTACTTTTGTAAGTATTTGATTATGTCTGGTACAATACATGCACCATAAAACACAATATTGGGGGTACCTCTAATGCAAGTCTTGTGTCTTGGAGGAAACCTATGGCATTTCTATAACTCCTCTTTCTATCTGGGCTATTATACACCCAAGTACAGGGAAGACCTGTTATAATATTGAAGTTCATCAAATCCAAATCAGCACTATAACATGTTGTGAGTCACTGCACCTGACTAAAACTGTCCACACACCAGCCAGTTGTGCATGCTAATAACATAGACAACTGCATTCACAACAAAATACAGTTATTACACTTTACAATAATTCCATTGAAGTGCTTTGAGATATTTTGACATTGATAAGAACAGTTGCAAGGATTATTATTTTTATCGTCTCCATTCAACATCCCTTCTGTATGCTGCACACAAGAAGTGATGTCTGTGTTTCCCTATGGGTGCGTGTTTTGATGTGCCTCTAACGTGGTGAATGATCACGGTTATAGGGGGAAATGTGGATTTTATGGACCGTAACTGCCGTGTTATAATGCACAGTACTGAATTTATTATGTTTTTCTTTTTGTTTTCAAATATTATAAGAGTATCACGTGAACTATGTGCCGCCTTAATCCAAATCTCTATTGTGAATGTTTCTGATTGTCTCACTTTGTCTTTGTGGCTAAATTTACATGATTTACCCCACTTAGGAAAATATGGAGACACAACTTTTGGATCCTCAATGCTTGATAGTAGACTTCAGCAAACCTGAGGTGAGATTTCCTGGTTTCATTGCGGTGACGACAGTTCAAAGAATTAAATTAGAAATATATTTTTCTTAGCCATCTGCTGTTTGGCAAAACAAATTTGTCTAAACAAGTAAAAATGTCTTCTCAGAAGATGAATTTAATGCCGCTTTCAAAGAGCTGCAGCTTTAATACAGCACTTCAATGACTTGGCTGAAAACACAATTCACAATTAATTATTGGAGCTTACTAAACTTATATTCTCAGAATAATTTTCTACAAAGCCTGCAATGACAGCGTCTTTAAATTGAAAGAAACATCTTGAAGTTTGTTTCAGAATTAAGTGAGTTAGAAATTATGTGCGAAGTGAATATGTAGGAAAACATGGCATGTAATTTGCACCAATGACATTGTAGAAATAGTAGTGAGATGAGTTGCCAATGAATTTGAATTATACTTTATAAATTATATTTTATAAGAATAAGAATATTCCTTATATTTGATATAGCGCCTTTCACATTGGGAGGGCACTTTCCGCAAAAAAAATTTGGTAAAATGGAGTGACTTTTGTGGGCAAGCTACATTTGATATTAATCGCTTACACTAGGTAAAGCTACACAGGCAAGAAGGTTGCAGGTTTGAATTCAAGTCTGTGCTGAATTAGCTCATGACAGCAAGGATGACAGCAAGGATGAAAGTTGGAGCTCTACATTGGCCTTGGCCCCTGGGTGATGGTGGATGTTAAACTGTATCCCAGCAAAATCAGTGCCTTCAGAAGACAAATCAATAACAAAAGTAAATACAATATAGCATCTTTAACATCAAGAAGACAGAAATCTCAAAGCACTTTGCACAGTTTGCTGGATACCGAAGCTGGGAGATAACCAAAAGCACAATTAAGAATTAAGTCTTCAGTCAAGCTTTCAAAGTGGGATGGGAGAGGCTGAGTCGGATGGATTCCAGGATGGAGTTCCAGAGAGTGGGGGCAGAATGGCAAAACGTTCCCCTGTCAAAGGTCGATCATTAAACAGACCAATTATTATTTCGGACAGAGGCTCCAACTGTTGTTAGCTGAAAATGTCAGCTTTACTAGTTACCTTGCAGGTTCATTTTGGAAAGTTGGAAAAACATAAGGCAGCAGGTCAATGTTCTTTCTGGTCTGTGCGATAAGGGCTAAATGTGTCATATTACCAGAGGTTACCATGGACACTGCTGTGTGCGTCACTTAATCAGTGAGAAAAATGAGGGAAATAAGAAGCTGGAGCTATGTTATCCTGTCTGAACCGTGAAAGGTCAGTTCAAGTGTACCTTCACCTTCAAAGCCTGTGTGCAGAGGAACATGTGTCCCTGAGAGTTTTCTAGACTCTCTCTGATTATTAACATTGGTTTGAAAACAATCAAGCACTCAGATTCTGAACATTGCAAAAATACAATGTGCAAAAAAATACCTCTGGAGATGCTTGGAGTCACGCAGAGTTTTCTTTTCAGTTAGTTTGTGTCACAGAGCATCTGCAGCTTTTGAGATGTCAGATGTTCTTGATTTGTTTTCAGTCTTTGAGCATAAATTTGAGTATTTCATCCACAAAATATACAGTCAATTCACTTTACAGTATATTCTGTGAAGTGCTTTGAGATGTCTCGAAGACGTAATAAGGCCAAATGCAAAGATTATTATTATAAATGATAGAGAAGGAAAAGTAGATGTTTACCCACACATAAATGCATCTTGTGGCACGAACTGCAAGGATTATTATATTATTATTTAGGAAAGCAAAGTGCACCTAGTATGGTGACTATGGAATGAAATGCCCTTGGAAGGCACGTTATTTCAGAAAATTCAAGAGGGAGTTAAATACCTAAGTTATTTATGAAGAAATCTGTTGAGGTGCTCAAAACCTGATAAGCTTGAATGAAAGTTGTTACCACCTGGGGCTTTTTAGCCAGGTATTAATGCTATCTTTATTCAGAAGTCGGGGGTGGCATGGAAATTTCAAATAATGGATGTTGTGAAGAATGGTCTTCATCTTCAACATTCTGGAAAGCCAACCATTGATGTCTAATATGTGGTGATTCATAACTGGATTCCTTAGAGGAACCCAAAGTACTCACAAAAACTTCACATGATAGAATCCACTTTTGGGGCAGAGTTTCCACTTAATCAGTGCTTCTGGTTACCCACTGATTCCTTATTAGTAGGGATCCCGCTGAAAATCATCATATGTTAGTTATTTTAATCCCGTTTAGAATACTGGGGCTGTTTGGTAGTAACTGCTATATTCAACATGTGATCTTAAGCAACATTTTTGCAGCTGGAGAATGGAATGAAGATATCATGCTTAATAATAATAATCCTTACATTTGATACAGCGCCTTATCACGTCCTCGTGATGTCTCAAAGCCTTTCACAGAATATACTGTGAATTGAATTAACGCAGCAGCCAATTGTGCACATCAGTGTCCCACAAACAGTCGCAGATTGAATGATCAAATTATTTAATTTTTTATACGGGATTATTACCCCCAGGGAGACAACTGTGTTCCTACTTGCTAGGTAAAAGGAGGCGTGTGGAGTAAGAAAGTTGCCTAGGATTTCGCCCTGTCCAGGATTCAAACCCAGATCCTCTCGCTTGCAAGACGAGTACTCTAATCTCTAAGCTACAGGGATCCACTCCGGACTGTAAAATAGTAGATTGCTCATTTTATGGCCATTTTGAGGACATTGATGTGCACAAATTGTGCACATTCACCTAAAAAATACCCAGTCAGTTGATTTCACAGTATAATTTTATGTTTTGAGACTTCTCGACATAGTAATGAAGCACTATATCAAACGCAACGATTAATATTATGATTATTGTGCATCTAAAGTTCCAGATTGTTTTACATTCCTACGGTTACAGTCTGTCCAATACAGATTTTTCTCTCTCAGGCAATCAGTCATGTATTTGTTGATTCATTTTTTTTTTAACAGGCGCCGTTGCAGATTCACACAGCTATGCTGGCCTTGGATATGTTTCAGGAGCAGCACAAGCGCCTGCCAAATATAGGGTAACTGTCTGGGTTTGATTCATGTTACGTGGGATCAAAGATGAGTCTAGCCATTGTGGAGGACGGTTAATAGTGGCATTAGATTCATTTGGATTACAGATTATTTTAAATGGTTGTGGAAAAGAACATAATGCCACTGTTAGTACACAATTAGAATATCAGTTTGTGGAATGGGTTTCTCCTGCTGTCCTGGGCAACAATTATCAGATTAATTGGTCTTTTACTTTTGGCATCCGCAATTTTTTCACTGAATCTGCAAAAATAACCCTCCATCACTGCGAAATCAAACACCTCCCCGCCCCGCTCCGAAAACCTGTACAAGTGAAGTTTGGTTGAAGCGCAGAATTTGCTTTTGTGCGTATGTGTCTGCGTAGGGGTGCATGTGTGTTGAGAGACAGAAACATTGGATGAGGGCATGATTTAGGTTGAGATGCTCTTGGACTCTTATTACTCTGTTGATTCTTAGTCATAAGATCTGTACTCCAACCTGAAGGATTAAAAGGGGTAATGATGGGCCATATTGCTCCTTCCACTCAACGGGCTCTGGTCTGCTTCACATCCCCCAACCAACCTGCCCCATCATTCGCAATCAGGCCTTCAGCCTCTCTGCCCCCACGCTCTGGAACTCCATCCCACAGTCCCTTCGCCTCGCTCCTTCCTTTGCTTCAAGGCATGTCTCAAGACCTTCCTCTTCGACTGCGCCTTCGGTCACCCTTCTACCCTTCCTGCCCTCCACCCTCCCTATCCCATTCCTCTGCTTGGGTCCAAATCCCTGACTGTCCAGCACCTTGGGACATCCTCCCAACACGAAAGGAGTTGTACAAATGTAATTTGTTGTTGCTGATTAACCCTCTGCAACAAACCAACACAAATTGTTTGCTATAGATGCAGAATAATGCTATTGTCAGACTTGCCAGCTCCTTCAGATGAGACATTAAACCTTCAGCCTGTTCAGATGGATGTTAAAGATCCCATGGTACTGTTTGAAAGTGAAAAGAGTTTTTCCCAGTGTCCTGGCCAATGATTCCCCACCCCCAAAAATTGGTGACTCACTTCATGGCTGTTTGTAGGACATTCATTTGGGAAAAATTGGCTGCTGCATTCACCTAAACAATACACAGTCACTCCCCTTCACAGTAAAAGCTGTGATGTGCTTTACGACATAATAAGGCAATGTATTATATGCAAGGATGATTATTATTATCATTTGCTGTGCGGAACTACAAGTACAGAGCTAAGCAGGGGAGGTCAGAATCAGGCTAATCTGACATCTTGCTTTTCCCATAGGAATCCAAACTAGACATCGATAGCAAGAAATCTATAAAAGCTGTTATTAAATGCTTGCCAAAGAGCTGTTCCTAAAATTTGTGCAAAAATGTGCAGAGCAGCATCATTGATCACTCGAGACGATACGGATGAGAGCAGCTGAATAGTTGCTAAACATTACCTAATAGTAGGAAAATCTGAGAGGAAAAAGCAAAGATTTTGGAATATTTGTGGGAACAGCGGTCATTTAATGGATAATTATTAATAATAATGTAAAGGATATTAATAATAACCCTTGCATTTGATATACTGCTTTATCACATCGTTGAGACGTCTCAAAGAGCTTCCCAGAAAAGTGTGTATTTTATGGGCAAAATGCGGCAGGCAATTGCACACAGCAATGTCTCACAAACAGTCGTGGATGGACTGACCAATTTTTTAAAATATTATTTTAAGGAAATAATATTAAAGGTTATGCAGAAAGAGCAGCAGAATAGGATTGGAAGCTTCAGGATCTTGGGGGGGGCGGAAGCTAGCATTGGGACAAGCATAATGGGCCTTCATTTGTGCTGTAGACTTTCTATGATTTGAATCACTTTCACAACCGGTTTCAAACAAACTTCCGTTAGCTGATTATTTTCAGCTATGGTAAATTCTGTTTCGCTACAGGCAAAATGTCAGTAACCAGAGATTCATCATACAGCATATGGTGAAGTCAATCCAACATATATTATAAAAAGTCCCTAAGTATTATCTCCAGGTATTCTCTCTGCACAGAGGCCGAAAGCAAAGAGGGGATTTCACTTAGAATAGATTTTAAAGCTGAGATTTATTCAGTTTAATTTTGTTGTCACTTTGTCTCTTCTAATGGCTTTTCCTCTGACCTACTCACAGTCACGTGCAGTGTTCCTCAGCGCTCTATCTAGGCTTCTCTCTATTTCCTCACCTATATGCTCTCCCTCTATTACATTGTCCACAGGCATGAAACAACATCTTATATAGCGTCCGCCGTTCAGGGCAGCGTCTCAGAGGGTTTAACAGTGCTGGAGCCTGACTCTGAGCCGGGGGTGGGGGTTGAGATGACCGTAAGCACGCTTGAAAAGGAAGGTTTTCAGCTGGGATTTGGAAAAGGGGAGAGAAGGGGCAAGACGGAGGGATTGAGGGAGAGTGTTCCAGAGTTTCGGGGCATAGTGGCTGAAAGCATAGTGGCGACCTCCGGTGATGGAGCACAGAGTGCGAGTGATAAGCAGGAGGCTGGTGCTAGTCGAGCGGAGGCGCCAGATGGCGGATTGGGAAGTGAGGAGGTCGGAGAGATAGGGAGGTGCCAGGGAGTGAATGGATTTGAACACGAGTAGGAGGAAGTTGATCCATTCGGTGATCGGGAGCCAGTGGAGCTTGGCCTGAACTGAGGTACGGTTGGAGGCGGACAATGTAGCGGAGGTGGAGGAAGGCGGTCCTGGTTAGGGACTGGATGTGGGGGAGGAAGGACAGCTGAGGATCGAACCGGATGCCTAGATTGCCCACTGATTTGGTGAGTGTGAAGAAGAGCCTAGGGAGGTTGAGGAGTTAAGATCCACAGGAGTGAAGACGTTGACGGGAGCCAAGGAGTATGGCTTCCATCTTGTCCACATTCAGCTGCAGGAAGTTTACACTTATCCAGGCCCTGATGTCTGCCAGACATGCTGATAGAAAATTGGCGGACCTGGAGTTGGTACTGGAGGAGGCAAAGTAGATTTGTGTGTCATGCGCAAACATGTGGAAGTTTACCCCGTGTCTGCAGATGACATCACCCAGAGGGAACCTAGAGATGAGGAAAAGAAGAGGGCCAAGGATGGAGCCCTGGGGTATCCCGCAGGTGACTTGGCGAGAGTGGGATGAGAAACCATTTGCTGAGATGAAGTGGAGGCGGTTGGTTAAGTAGGACTCGAACCAGGCGAGTGCAGTTCCTCTCAGATGGATGAGGGAGGACTGTAACGAGGAAGGGTAGGTTGGAAATGGCACTGTAGTGTGAGAGATTAGAGAGGTCGAGGGTGGATTTTTTTGAGGAGGGGTGATAACAATCCCTCAAAAAAAATGAATGAATTGGTCTCATCAATCTACGACTGTTTGTGGGACACTGCTGTGCGATTTGGCAGTCGCGTTTCAGCCCGCAATTATACAGTCAATTCACTTTACAGTCTATTCTGTGAAGCGCTTTGAGATGTCTAGAAGACGTGAAAAGCCTATATCAAATAAAAGGATTATTACTGTTATTATTTATTATAACAGCGTTTTTCAGGGGGAGTGGAACAGAGCCTGAGGAGAGAGACAAGTTGGCCGTGTTGCCTCAGCAGGGGTGAGAGGAGGGGGAGTTGAGCGACCAGCCTGGGTGGGGAGGGTGGTGAAGGTGGTGATTGATTGAGAGGGAGGAGGGAGAAATGGGGGCAAAGGAGTGTAAAGAAGGAGGAGTGGCAGGAGCCGTGGCAGAGGGAGAAGGCGGTGTGGATGGGTGGGATGGAAAGGAACATGGGAGGACGATTCAGCCAAGTGGATGTTTTCAATCTTTGAGGCGAAGCAGTCTAGGACCTCTTCGTACTTGGCATTTGATGTGAGGATAGAGGGAGCTTGAGCAGGTGCACAGAAGAAGTGATGAATGGTGGAAAACATCAAGTCTTGGATGAGCATTAACTTTCTCCCAAGTAAGCGTCAACAAAACCGAGGCTCTCCAGCTCAGCTAGCGCTACAGCCAACGTTACCAACACTTCAGCTCGAAGCCACTACAGAATTTCGGCATTTTGTTTGACCCTCAACTCTCCTTTAAGGCTTTCATCCAATCCCTGAACAAGTCTACCGTCCTCCCACCTCCGCACCATCTCCCGCCTCCTCCACTATCTTAGCCCCACGCAGCTGAAACCCTCATCCATGCCTTTGACACCTCCAGACTTGCATCTTGGGGTCTCCCGAACTTTACCCTCCACGGGGTTCAGATCATCCAAAACTCCACAATCGTCCACCATTCTCTCCCGCACTAAGCTCCACAAACCTATCGTGCCCATCTTGGAGTCCATAGCGTAGTGGCTAACATGCTTGCCTCGCAAGTGAGAGAACCCAGGTTCGATTCCCGGCTGGACGAAACCTTTGGCAAGTTTCCTTACTCCACACACCTCTGTTTACCTAGCAGTAAATAGGAACCTGTTTGCTTGTCAATTGGCGTATGGCTTTTCCCCCTGCTCTCTGGAGGTCTCCACCAAAATCTCTCCACCGTGTTCCCTCCATCTTCTTTCAAAACCCATCTAAAAACCTATTTCTTTGACTGTGCTTTGATCCACCTTGCTCTCACCCTCTATCTTTTACGTGAAAGCCATGATATAAGAGGAAATTATTGTTGTTGTGAGTGCCATTTTAGAGATGTTTTGTAGTCAGAGAAGCAGAGTGCTATTGTTTAGTTTCAGCTGGAATCACGATTTAAAATTATTGTCACTCATACAATTTTCTTTTCTTGGCTGTTATTGAGTTTGTACCTTACAATTGTGTCTGAGTGCTGTTAGGAATAAATTTACCAAAATAGCAGATTTTGAGCTGAGANTTTTTTTGCAACAGGTGCCTCCAGGATGCAGATGAGCTGGTGAAACTGGCATTCACTGTAAATGAAACTATGAAAAATAAGGTGAGTGAAACACTTTGACAACAAACAGCAGCTTAAAATGTTACACTGACTTTCTTCGCTGGAAGCGTAGAAAGTCAGGGTAACATGGTAAGTTGCAGTTGTTGAAACCATATCCTTAACACCCTCAAAAGTCACCTGTGCCAGCCATTTACAATACCTGTTTGTTCAGCACCAGACTGTTGGTTCCTTGCCACTTAGCCAAAATTATCAAGTTTTAAAAAAACGCACACTGGAACTCCACCAAACTCTCCAGTTCCCATCTCATCTCAAACCTCCCCTTCCTCTCCAAGGTGCTGAACTGGTTGTTGCTTCCCAGCTACATCTCCCATCATTCCCTGGATGAGTCCAAACAATCTGACTTCTGTTCCCTGATGCCTACAGTACGAAGTAACCTTGGTCAAAGTCATAAATGACTTCCTCTTTGTCTATGACCAGAGCTCCCTATACCTACTTCCCCTTCTCAACCTTTCCACCAACTTTGATACTGTTGGTTACTCCAGGCTTGCCCACCATTTCTCCTCTGTGGTTCTGCACTTTCCTGGTTCCAATGTCCCAGCGTTTCACTGTGTCTCTAACAGCTTCTCCTCCTCCATTGTGTTCCTCAGGGATCTACTTTGGTTATCCCCGCTTCCTGTTTTCCCCATTACATATTCTGATGGCATGGAGTCCACTTCCATATATACCTGGAACGTCCAACTCCACCTTTGTGCTTCGACCCATGAGTCCAGCTACTCAGACAGATTATGAGTTACTATTTGTGAATCTGGTTGTAAACCTCCATTCCTGTTGAGTAAAGTGCCTTTTGGACATGTGGCAAAACAATTTGTAGAAGTGAGCATTGTCAGTCTGGATCAGTTGGAAGAACTCTCCTCTGAGTCAGAAAACTGTGGGTTCAAACCCCACATTGGAACTGAAACAGTCAAGGCTGACGCTCCAATGCAGTGCTGAGCGTATTGCAATGTGGACTTGCCATCCTTTAGATGAGATGTTAAACCAAGGTCCCGTCTGCATTTTCAGGTGGATGATAACAATTCCATAACTTAATTTAAAAGGACAAGAGAGTTTCCTCCGGTGTCCTGGCCAATAATCCCCAGATAAAATTGCTCATTCACTACATAGCTGTTTATGGGACATTGCTTTGTGCAAATTAGCTGCAGCATTCCAAACTATCCAGAACTCTGCAGCTAATGTCCTCTCCTGCACTGAGCTCTGTAAGCCTCTTCTCCGCTGGTTCCCCTTCCTCCAGCAAATTGAAATCACGATCCCCTTTCTCACCTTTAAATCCCTCCATGGTCTCACCTCAACCTATCTCTGTAACTTACTTGAACCATACTGATCCAGCTACTCCCTTCAGTCAGCAAACACTGGACTACTTCATATCAGTGGGCAGGCTTTCAGCTATTCTGCCCCTACTCTGAATTATATCCCATAGTCCATCCAACTCACTTCCAGCCTCACCTCATTCAAAGTTCGTCTCTTTCTTTCATACTTTCGTCATCTTTCCGCTCCCATCCCCTGCAGTTTCCATTCCCAGCCAGAAGTGCCAGCCAGCAGTGTTAAGCACTTTGAGACATCCTCCCACTGTGAAGGACCTTGTATAAATGTAAATTGTATTATATAACATTCATCCAAAAAATACACAGTCACTAGACTTTACAGTGAATCCTGTGAAGCACTTTGAGACGACCTCCCAACATGAAACATGCTAAATTACGCTTTCATTACATCCCGGCTTGACTCCGCCAACTGCCTACTCACTGGACTTCCCAACTCTTCCCTCCACAAGCTGCAGATTATTCAGAACTCTGCAGCTCGTGTCCTCTCCTGCACCAGGCTCCGGGAACCTATCACCCCCGTTCTTGCCCAGCTTCTCTGGCTCCCCATTGCTCAGAGAATCGAGTACAAAACCCTCGTTCTTGCCTTCAAGGCCCTCCACAGTCTTGCACCCCCCTACCTCTCCGACTTTATAACCCCACATCAGCCTTTCCGTTCCCTCCGCTCGGTGGACAGCAGCCTGCTGCAGGTCCCCCGCACTTCTCGCCCCACCATTGGTGCTCGGGCATTCAGCATCTCTGCCACACACTCTGGAACTCTATCCTGCAATTCCTCCACCTCACCCCCTTTCTTGCCTCCTCCAAGTCCCTTCTAAGGACTTCCCTCTTCGATCATGCCTTCAGCTACTCTCCCATCCCCAACCCACTGCCCTACATCCCTCTTGACCCTAACTCCCAGCTCGGGCCCAAAACCCCTGATAGTCCAGGGTCCTGTGACGTCTTTCCGACTTGAAGTGCTCTGTACAAGTGGAATTTGTTGTTGTTGTATATCAAACACAACGATTATTATTAAGATTTAAAAGAAATCTTGCTGAAATCAAAACTGAAATATTGCCCAAGCTTTCGATGGCATTGCGTTCACTGAGTCCATGTGAATATGACATTTAACCTGTACATATTTGTTTGTGTTTCAGGGGGATGTTAACGAAGAGCTTATTAAGTGTCTTTCACGGACAGCAAAGGGATTCCTGACGCCTCTTGCTGCTGCCTTTGGGGGAATTACAAGCCAGGAAGTCCTGAAAGCATTGACAGGCAAATTTTCCCCTCTTCAACAATGGGTATGTTTTATTGCACAAGTTTGATCTAAAACATTTGACAGCATTTGACCAGTCACTGGTTTATAGGAATTTGCTTTGTTTTAGCTGTATTTTGATGTGATGGAGATTCCTAAGGCTCTTGAAGATATCAGCAGTGATGAGTTCCAACCAAGGTAAGCAGAAAATGTTGATCTTGCAAAACAATTTTTTTAATAATTTCTAACTATATAAGAAAAATTTTAATTAAAATAAAGCAGAGCAGCAGTCCATTGATATGTCTTTAACCTCCATCTCTAACCTCATCTCTAACCTCCCATTCCTCTCCAAGGTCCTGGAATGAGTCGTTGGGTCCCAGCTCCGCTCCTTTCTTTCTCGCCATTCCCTTTTTGAACCCCTCCAATCCGGCTTCTGTGCTGCCCACAGCACGGAAACAGCCCTGGTCAAAGTCACTAATGACATTCTGAACATCTGTGATCAGGGCTCCCTCTGCCTCCTTGTCCTCCTCGACCTCTCTGCCGTTTTCGACACTGTCGACCACTCCATCCTCATACACCGCCTCTCCGCTTTACTCAATCTTCACGGACCTGCCCTTGCCTGGTTCGATTACTGTCTCTCTCACCGTCTCCATTTTGTTGCCTCTAACGGTATCTCATCCAGCCCCCGCACTGTCATGTCTGGCGTCCCCCAGGGCTCTGTCCTTGGCCCTCTCCTCTTTAATATCTATATGCTCCCTCTTGGTGACATCATCCGCAGACATGGGGTCAACTTCCACATGTATGCGGATGACACCAACTCTGTCTTTCTGCCTCACCCTCAACTCCAGGACCACTGCTGTCCTGACAGACTGTCTGTCGGACCTCAAGTCCTGGATGAGGGCAAATTTCCTACAGTTGAATATGAACAAGACTGAGGCCTTCCTGATTGGCTCACACCAGCGCCTCAGCACCTCAGGCTCTGGCAACATCAACCTCCATGGTTGCACACTTCAACTCACCAAGACAGTCAGGAACCTAGGGGTCTTGTTTGACCCTCAACTGTCTTTTCTTCCCCACATCCAACCATGACCCCCTCTGCCTTCCCTCACCTCCTTAACATCGCCCGACTCTGCCACTACCTCACCCCTCAGGCCGCTGAAACTCTTGTTCATGCCTTCATCACCTCCAGGCTCAACTATGCAAATGCCCTGCTTGTCGGCCTTCCCAACTCCTCCCTCCACAGGCTGCAGATAATCCAGAACTCTGCAGCCCGTGTCCTCTCGCGCACCAAACTCCATGACCCCATCTCCCCCATTCTCATCCGACTCCACTGGCTCCCTATCCTTCAGAGGATCCAGTTCAAGATCTTGGTCCTCATCTACAAAGCCCTCCATGGCCTCACCCCACCCTACCTCTGCGACCTCCTAACCCACTACCAACCCGCCCGTTCCCTCCGCTCAGCCGCTACCACTACTCCGCTCAGCCTGCTCCACGTCCCCCGACCCACCCGCCCCACCATTGGCGGGAGAGCCTTCTGCTACTCTGCCCCCAACCTCTGTTTACAACAACAAATTATATTTGTATAGCGCCTGTAGCGTCTGGAGGACGTCCCAAGGCACTAGACAGTCAGGGATCCTCACCCGAGCTGGTGGTTCGGCTCAGGAGGGGTGGAGGACGGGGAGGTTAAGGGTAAGAGGGTGACCGAAGGCACAGTCGAAGAGGAGCTTTTGAGACTGTTTACACTCTCCCTGCGCTTCTTTGCACTGCTCTGTGAACTCCTAAATAACCTGACCGTAATAATTTCTTATGTTCTGCGCCTTCCTGCAGAGGAGACCGATACGACGCTCTGCGTGCTTGTATCGGAGAATCCATGTGCGAGAAGCTGCGCAATCTCAACGTATTCTTAGTGAGTATCTGTGTATAAAGGTTGCCTTCAACAAATGCAACCTATCTCTTCTTTACACTCTTAATTCATCTTTAATCAGTTCAATGCACTTTACTTCAACTTGCACCTAATAGAAATAAAGTTGAGATAGATGTATCAGTTTCATAATATATGTCAGTTGGTAGCACTCTCATCTCTGACTCGGAAGGTTGTTGATTCAAGCCCCACGTCGAGTGTGCTGCATTGTTGAAATATTAAACTGAGGTCCCAGCAGCCTGTTGAGTGGACGTTAAATATCCCATGGCACTATTAGAAAAGAGAAAGAAGTTTCTCCTAGTGACTTAGCCAATGATCCCCCAAATAAAATTGGTCAAACACGGCTGTTTGTGGGACATTGCTGTACGTAAATTGATTGACACGATTGGCAACAAACGCTCATTTACTACACTTTACGATAAATTGTGTGAAGAGCTTTGAGATAAGTGACACCACATTAATGTTTTTAGAGCATGTACAACTGCACATACTGTATACTGATTTTTTAAAAAGAAAATTCAATGCATTTTAGTGGATATTCTACATTGTGGGAATATTCTATACAAACTACTCTACAACAATAACAAGATTACATTTGTATAGCGCCTTTCACATTGGGAGGATGTCCCAAAGCGCTGGACAGTGTACAGCATTACTCTACCTTGCATGATGTGAACTTACCTTGCTCAATTCTAATATCCATAGCATTCCTACTTTTAGGTTGCAGATTATTATTATTATAAAGCAGACTCAGTATATTGGAATCAGAAAATTCATTTAGCAACAGCTCTCTGTTTGATTTGGTGGCTTGGGTCTAATATTCGGATCTGTGAATAAACTTGAGTTTCAGAAACATGGGTTCTACAGCATCAATATAGTCTGACCTGAAAGTCTGAAATGTCATATGCTTCAGCAGCATTCTGTCTGATTAGTACACTATTTCTGTATTGTAGCTTCCTCTTTTTAAATGGACTACATTTGTGAAACTCTGTTTCCTTTCAGGTGGGATGTGGCGCAATTGGCTGTGAAATGCTTAAAAACTTTGCTTTACTCGGTGTTGGCAGTGGTTCTGATAGAGGCCTGGTAAGTGCATCTTCCTAATGGACTGGCAAGACAATTGCCTAATATTAAAGTATATAAGGGATGTCTAGACCAGGGGCCACACTGAGAGAGAATTTTGTAATGTGACTACTTACTGATGAATAGTTTGGCAAACCTAAAGCTTAAACTCCATTTAATTAACCTCAATATGAAAGTAGATTCATAGAAATTATAGCATAGGAAAAGGCCATTAAGCACATTGAGGACATTGGTGCTACAACAACAACAAAATTACATTTATAGAGCGCCTTTCACGTCGGGAGGACTTCCCAAAGCACTGAATAATCCTTGCATTTGATATAGCACTTTTCACGTCTTCTCGATGTCTCAAAGCGCTTTACAGAATATGCTGTAAAGTGAATTGACTATATTTGTGGGCGAAACGCGGCAGCCAATTGCTCACAGCAGTGTACCACAAACAGTTGAGGATTGAAAATGACCAATCTATTATTGTTTTTTTTGGAGGAGTTATTATCAGGCGTGTGGAGTAAGGAAACTTGCTCAAAGTTTCACCCTGCTTGGAATTGAACCCAGGTGTCTCGCTTGCAAGGCGAGTGCTCTAACCACTGAGCTACAGGACTCCACTGCTAGTCACTCCGTTGAAGCTAATTGTAATTAGTAATTCAGAGTGGTTCGTGGGGAAGCTGTTAACTAACAGGACAACAAAGCCCACAGAAATCCCTGCTCTGAAACATACATTTTTTTTTGGTCAGCCGGGTGTCTTGACACATGTGGAAACCCATCACCATGCTTAAGAGTATTCAAACAAAATTGAGATTTCGCTGCATCCCACCTAAACATGGAAATCCCAGAGATAGATTGTTGGAATGGAATGTGCACTTTCTACCTGGAGGGATGCATCCTGCTTACATAATTCCAGAAAATATTAGGGGCAGGTTCGCAAGTGCCAAAGCTTGGGGACCCCAGGATGTGTGTTTGGATAACTGCTGGAGTCTAACAAGTTAAAACCGCATACCTTGCCATTGATATTTCTGGCTGGCAAGCTTTCCCGCTGCTTGTCCAGAAAGGACCACCCGTTAGGGCTTTGGTTTGCAGGGTTAACAGGAGCCCCAATGAAGCATCAGACTATGTGCTTCAGTCAGCCACGTCATACTCCCAGTTACAGTCCAGATTCCCTGTAAACAGGTCTAAGTCGACTTTTGTGAATCCCATTGCAAACTCCTTGCTTTTTCTATGTTAGTAATTTGGGCAATTTGCTTACAGAAGTCTGGATTTATTCCTGTACTTTTGTTAATTTTGGACCTGGGTTAAGGGAGGGATCAGAGGTATTAAATATGTAGTATTTTTTCCATCTAATCAGTGTGGTTCTCTTTTGCAGATCACTGTTACAGACCCTGATTTAATTGAAAAATCCAATCTAAATCGTCAGTTTCTCTTCAGGCCTCACCACATACAGGTACAGAAATGTGACAGCCTTCATGCACAACAATTTTTTTCATGATATTTATTTGCCTGTCCTTTCAAAAAAGATAATTATCCTTAGATATAGCCTTTCACGTCGGGAGGACGTCTCAAGGCACTTCCTTTGCATATTGTGCAACACTAAGTTACAGATTTTAAGTCACTTTGTGAGTTTGGCAAAAGACTGAGGTTGATTTAAGATGGTGAAACTGAATCTGGACAATGGAAAGCCAGTAACATACTTTAGAATCTCTTGCATGATCTTGCCACTTCAGGTGGTCCCTGTCTATTGTAACCTTTGGTGATTACCATTAAACGCCCGCCAGTTCACACTGTGATTAAAAATATCCTTGCATTTGAAATAGTGCCTTTCATGCCGGGACGACATCTCAAAGCGTTTCCCAAGATTTTATTGTAGTTACTGTGTCTCTACTGAAGTGAATTCTCTCCCTTTCTTTATAGAAATCAAAGAGCTGTACGGCAGCCTCAGCTACCATGCTTATCAATCCCCATCTTAAAATTGATCCCCATCTGAACAAAGTGTGCCCATCCACAGAGAACACTTACAGTGACAGTTTCTACACCAGTCTCGACGTTGTGGTCACAGCACTAGACAATGTGGAGGCTAGAAGATATGTTGACAGGCAAGTAGGCCAATCCCTCCTGCGCAGGAGGGGTGAAATATATATAGAGAGATTATAAACCAAGTGATAGCCTTTGAGCTCAAGTTTCAATCTTGAATGCAAAACCTTCTGACGCAGAGGCATGAATGTTCCTAATTGTGCCAAGCTGACAAGAGAATAGAGCTCGGAGACAGTACCCCTACCTTCCACCATAATAAAAGATCTGATGGTTGTTTGATATTTGATCAGAAATACACGGCGGGTGAGCTTTTAGGATTTTCGGAAACTGGACACAAGAAGCTCTCGTAAGTGCTGAGGATCCGGAGGATGGTGTTAAGGGAAAAATTAGGCTAGGGAACAGCTTGAATCAGTATACTGATTCAGCAGCTTTTGCCTTTAAAATGTAACTTGGAGGGATTATATAGTTTAAGTATAAGTTTATACTTATTTATAGTTTTAAGTGATTTTCATACACCCACCTCCTCCACTCCCCCCACCCCACATGTGTCATACACACATCCCCACATATGGCACAAATATTGTCTATGGGTGAATGAGCTGAATGTATTGCTTTTCTCCCTCCCACCCCAGTCCCAGCAGCAAAAATATTGATTCATCTGTTTGAAGTCATCCCTTAAATTGTATTAAGATACTTACTCAATTCTTCTTATGAAGGAGTTATTTAGCGTAGCATCGGCCACTTGTGTTAGGGGAAGTCAGGTGTACTGATTCCTTTGTTTTTGAAGTCACTAATTTAAGTTTAATTTTAGGCGCAAGCAAATTGGACGAGAGCTAGATCACAGAAAAGGCCGAGGATATTTGCTTTGATCTTTTTCATTAGTTGGTAGACAAAGAGATCAATCATCTGTATCCTTCTTTAAAAATTAATTGGGACATTGTTTACTCGTAGAAAAAATCAGAGAAGTGCAAGGTTTGTTTTGTTCAAGTCTTGTGGATTTGCTGCAACTATTTGTATATCTAACCCACATTGTAACTATTTGGCAGAGCATTTGTCAATTCTTTCAGGAACTGACTACTTTCTTATTGTCTTTTTCTCAGTCGATGCGTATCAAATCAATGCCCTCTTCTAGACTCCGGAACAATGGGAACTAAAGGACACACTGAGATCATAGTACCAAATCTGACTGAATCTTACAATAGCCATGTAAGTACATTACAGTTCAGCTAGCCTGACACCACACTAAAAAATTGTGGAAATTCAGGAAAATTAATACAAGGAAAGTGATAGCTGAAAACAGTAGTGTCAAGAAACAATGTACCCCACATCTTAAAGTGTCTTAATTTAAATAATTTATAGCACTCTGTATTAGTCACCTTTGACGTTTGAAGTTTCACTAACTTGATGTTTTTTGTGCAGAGAGACCCTCCAGAAGAAGAGATACCGTTTTGCACATTAAAATCCTTCCCAGCATTGATTGAGCACACAATACAGTGGGCGAGAGATAAGGTATGCAGAGGGCGAAACACCTAGCGGTTTCTTTGTGACGTTGTGTTTGTCTAAATGCTATTCACTTGATATACAGAACCAAAACGTAATCAGACCTTCATTTTTCATTCTAGTTTGAAAGCTCCTTTTCGTACAAGCCCTCAATCTACAACAAGTTCTGGCAAAGTTACCCATCACCAGATAATGTTCTACAGGTGAGAGTAAACACATTACAGTTATAATTGAAGTGCGGGATGTATCAGATGCCACAATTTAATTATAAGTTGATGCATAATATTGTTAACTGCATGCTGGCTGGCATCACTGGTGATACAGCAGTCAGTATTAGCAACAACAACAACAAACTTACATTTGTATTGCGTCTTTCACTTCGGGAGGATGTCACAACGCACTAGGCAGTCAGTGTTTTGGACCCCAGCTGGGGTTTGGAATTGGGGAGGGTGGAGGGTAGAAGGGAAGCGGAGTAATTGAAAACATGGTCAAAGAGGAGGGTCTTGAAGGAGGCAAGGGAGGGGACGAGGCAGAGAGACTGCGGAATGGGTTCCAGAGGGTGGGGGCAGAGTGGCAGAAGGCCCATCTGCAATTGGTGGGGCGCACAAGGTGGGGACGTGAAGTAGGCCGGAGCCCGCTAAGCAGAAGGAGTGGGCAGAATGGTAGGGGGTTAGGAGGTTGCAGAGGTAGGGAGAAGCAAGGCCCTGGAGGGCTTTGAAGGTGAGGATTAGGATCTTGAACTGTACTTCTGTGTGATGGGAAGCCAGTGGAGCTGGGCGAGGATGGGGGTGATAGGGTCGTGGATCAAAGTACGGGAGAGAACACGGGCTGCAGAGTTCTGGATGATCTGCAGCCTGTGGAGGGAGGAGTTGGGGAGGCCAACAAGCAAGGAGTTTGCATAGTCAAGCCTGGATGTTATGAATGTGTGTATGAGGGTTTCGGGGGTCTGCAATGTGAGACAGTGGCGGAGCTGGGCAATGTTGTAGAGGTGGGTGAAGGCAGAGCGGGTTATGGCACGGATGTGGAGTAGAAAGGATAGTTGAGGGTGAAACAAGACGCCAAGGTTCCGGACTGGTTTAGCAAGGTAGAGTGTGCAACCATGGATGGTGATGCTGTCAGTGCCTGAGGTGAGGACTTGCAGATGATGTTACCAAGAGGGAGCATATAGATATAGAAGAGGAGGGGACCAAGGACAGAGCTCTGAGAAGTGCTACATGAGATGATGCAGGAGCTAGAGGAGAAACCGTTTATGGAGATGAAGTGGAGGCGATGTGAGAGGTATGATCTGAACCAGTCAAGGACAGAGCCGTGACCTTTGAGGTGAGAGGAGAGGCGGTGGATGAGGATAGAGTCAACGGTGTCGAAGGCAGCAGAGAGGTCAAGGAGGACGAGGAGTCAGAAGGAGCCCGGGTCGCAGATGCACAGAATGTCATTTGTCACTTTGACCAGGGCTGTTTCTGTGTTGTGAGCAGCACAGAAAACTGATTAGAAGGGTTCTTGAAGGGAATGGTGGGAGAGGAAGGAGAAAAGCTGGGAAGCAACAACTCATTCCAGGACCTTGGGAGGAAAGGGAGGTTGGAAATGGGGCGATATTTTGAGAGCAGGAATGGGTCCAGGAAGGCTTTTTGAAGAATAGGAGTGATGACAGTCGTTTTTAATGGGGTAGGAACGGTACCAGAGGACAGGGAGAGGTTTATGATGTCTGTGAGCAGAGGGGCAAGGAGGTGGAGCCTGGAGGTTAGGAATGGGGTCGAGGGAGCAGATGGTCGGTATCATACGGGTTATAGTGGTGGTGAGAGAAATGGGGGAGACAGGTTCGAAGGTGTGGAGGAAGGGATAGGTATGGGCCGGTGTATGAGGAGGAGATGGGGAGGGGTTTATAGACGGCAGGGCGGAGGCAGCTGAGCGGATCCCCTCAACTTTGGATTCAAGGAAGTTCAGCATTGCTTCATAGTTGGCATTGGAGGTGAGGATGGGTGAGGCATGAGAGGGTGGGCGAAGGAGCCGGTTGGTGATGGAGAAGAGGAGCCTGTGGATGTCCTTGGCCTCCAAGATTGTCTTGGAGTAGAACAACGATTTAGTGGAGGCGAGGGCGTAGTGGTAGGATTTGATAAGGTCCAGCCAGATCTGCTGATGGCCCATTAAGTTTGATCTAAGCCAGGTGGTTCAGCGGCATGCACCTGTGCTTCAAGAGAGTGGAGGTGACTGGTGTACCATGGTGACTTTCGTGAGTAGCAGACGGTTCAGGAAGTGAGGGGAGGAAGCTGGAGCAGAAGGAGGTTGTGGGATGGTCGAGCAGGGATAGGAGTCTAGGAGGGCGGTGGGAGAGGAGGACCGAGCAGGAGTAATGGAGGGTAGAGGACAGGGGTGGGAGTATTTTGGGGAAGCAGCTCAGGTTGGTGGCGGCAGCCAAAATGCGCATGTATATTAAAGTATAAAAGTAAGAAATGCTGGAAATGAGACAACAGGTTGGTCAACTTGCAAAAGAGAAAGACAGTTAACATTTCAACAACAACTTGCACTTATATAGCGCCCTCCACGCAGGGTAGCGTCTCAGAGCGCTTAACAGTGGCAGAGCCTGACTCCGAGCCGATGGGGGGGAGGTGGCTGTAAGCACAGTCGAATAGGAAGGTGTTCAAGCAGGACTTGGAAAAGGGGAGAGAGGGTGCAAGGCGGAGGGATTGAGGGAGAGTGGTCCAGAGTTTCGGGGCATAGTGGCTGAAAGCGCGACCTCAATTGGTGGTTGTGTTTTGATACAAATTACAGACCATTGATTTTTAGGTTGGTCAGCCAGGTATCTGATACACATGGAAACCTATCACCAATAGACTTTAAACCAAGCTACTGACAGTTCACCTATGTGTGGTTTCCATTTGATTCATATGGATTGCACACTCTCTCCCTGATTACCTAATTCAGGTTTGCCAGAGCCAAGGTTTGTGGACTGCAGAGTGTGCATTGGGATACTGCTTGAGTTTAAACACCTAAATTTGTACAGCTTGCCATTGTAAATATTGGCAAGTTTTCCCCAGGTAGGCCTACTCTTGAGCTTTGGTTTGCAAGGTTAACAGATGCTGAACAGAAGGAATCCAATTCCCCAGTGACTGGTGTGCTCCTCCAAGCCCTGCAACTGTGATTTGGAGTACTGCATACCTGTCTGACTGAAGAACCAGATTATTGAGGTCAAGCATCGAGTTCAAGGCTAGGAGGTCACCAGAAATGTAACATAGTTAATTTATACTTTTACATTTTACAGAGAATTCAAGCGGGAGAGAGTTTAGAAGGATCATTTCAAGCAATTAAGTTACTTATCAGAAGACCTAGACACTGGCCACAGTGTGTGTCAGTGGCAAGAACAAAGTTTGAGAAATATTTCCATCACAAGGTAAGACATTTGCAGTCTTTTACAATCTGTGTATCAGTAATACAAGTAAGTGGTTTCCTTATTTTCAGAAGAAAAAAGTTAGATTTTTGTCTTGAATATGTAGAGTTTATACTGAAAGCTAAACAAAATTTTCAACCTAGTGCCGTACTTGTTGCACTTTCATTTTGTATGGTGCTTATGTGATAGCGTTAAAGTCACCCTGCCATTGTTCGTTTCTTTTCCATCTACCGCAGTTGTTTTCAAATGTACTGTATGAGGTTTACTTCCATCCCATTTATCTCATTGGCATTGAAGAGCAGTTGTTTTAAGCAGGCAGCTATCTGCTGAGCAGAGTGGCAAAGCACTCAGATGCAAGTGATGCACTACTGACATCAAACTGCAAGTAACATCTTGTTTTTTCTTCAGGCTGTACAGCTTCTCCACTCATTTCCACTTGATACAACATTGAAGGATGGAAGTAAGTGCATTTTTGTGGTGTTTTAGTGAGGCTGCATTAATTGATTAAAGTGGATCTAAATCTAGGTTGGAAATTGCATTATTCTATGTTTATTTCGACATCTCTTCATTTGATTTGATGATGGTTGGTATCCGGTTTCTGTCAGCTCATTATCAGAAATATTTAAAATATCTGAGTTTTAAACAAATTAATTACAATTCCAGGATTGATCAACCTTCACAGGAGAGCTGTTTTAGAAAAGTTCCCAGGTAGACAAGCTGGGATGAGATCTGTGATGTTGACTCCAGAGCACTGTATATCTTTGGCAACCCACATCTGCCTCTCTAAATGTACTCCCAGCTCCTATGGGGCTGTGTGATTGAAGAATAAATGTGTTTTGTTGCCCTTGGATACCTTCAAAACATTTAATTTTGGTAAAAAGAGAATCTTCTTTTCTGTCAGCACTCTACTGAATAAAGAGCCCAATATCTATACTCTGGATATTTAAACAGTGGAGATATCAGATTATGTCACGTGAAATAAAGTGCACCTACTATCTAAAGCATCTTCCATCAGGAACGCGGCCACTATAAGGATGTCCACATAGTGTCCTTCTTTGTTTCACTTTTTTGCAGGTCTCTTCTACAATCACTCCCCTTTGTACTCCCTTTGCCCCTCCTTCCCTCACCCCCCCCACCTCACACACACAGACAGACAGTGCTGGCTCTCTAAACCTATACACTGTACCTGTTAAGCTTTTTAGGAATATTGAACCTCCATTGCTTGTTGAAAGTCCTGAGATTGCATTAAACAGATGCTAAATATAGACACAAGAATAGTTAAAGAATTGAAGATTTTCTGTCTACTGATCTTCTGATTTTAGCTCTGAGATCTCAAATCTACTGTAGATTATTGAATACATAACATGTGGATATATGGCACTTTACTGTGTTTAAATGGATTTAACAGTGATTTGGTTTAAAATATGGTGAATTAATTGGTGAACCTCTTTGTTTACAGGCTTGTTTTGGCAGTCACCAAAGAGACCACCATCTCCAATAACATTTGACATTAATGATCCATTGTAAGTAATCTCTGAAGTTCTAATATATAAGACTCCCAAATGGGTTTCATGCAGGAAAATTAAACAGGGTTATTAGTAGGCCATGTTATATAGCAGCCACTGGTACTTGGTGCTGGGATCGCTGTTCACGTTGCAGAGCCCCATTGTGTCTGCAAGCACTGAGCAGGAAGCTTGTGAACCCTGAGCTGAACGGAAATGGAGTATACTGTGGATCCACTGACTTACAACGTTATATGCAAAAATCATGCTGAACTTCAGTATAATAAGACTGCATGATATGGTGATATTAATAGAGTTGATTGCCTTTCACACCAAATACAACTTTTGCAAGTGGTGCAATGGAATCTTTACCTTTCCAAAAGGTGTGCAACCTATTGTTAACGTTAACTCAAATAATTATTTGCATTAATTATTGATTCAGATTTTTAAATTGTGTCAAGCAGTACAAGTCTGTAATACAAGGACATTTCAGTACAGTACCAGTGGTCATATGGTGCGGTGGCCTTTTTAGAGCAATCGGGCTCAGAACACACTACAAGTCTATTACTCTTCCTTGACTGACCCAGACTTTGGAATTGACTGAATTGTTTAAACTACAGTCCCCAGCCTTCCCCTATGTGGAGAAGAGCCAATCCTTGTAATTGAAGGTATTTGTGAACTAAATGTCTCTAATAATGCAGAAATTTGCTTTAGTTTATGGAATTCCTTGAAATAACCTGGGAAAATCCTGGAACTAACCAGAAGCTTGCCCAAGACCATCCCGGAGAAGAATTAGGAAAAGAGCTGACGCATTGCAGAGCCTGTCAGACTTGATTTGCGACAGCCTTTATAGACAGTTGCTCCATCTGTGCTGGATGTCTTCCATGAATTTGAGGTTATAGTTGCACAAATGTCAGCTCGATTACTCGTGCAGCAGATGTGTCACTGCATATCTGAGAGAGTGCCCTTGAGGAATCTGGAATTGATATTTGTGAATACGTTGCAGAAGTTGCTGAAATATCCTGGAGGTGACATTGGGCTCTTAGCTGACCAATGATCACCGCACAATTCATTCTCAGGCACTTAGTAGATTCTGACACATACACTGGTGCCTTGGCTTTGCATTGGAAGCTACAGCCAGAAAACCACTACAGTACTTCTAAACACCAAGAAAGCTAGGTTCTCAACTCACAAAGCAAACACAGTCTGAATAAGCTCAGTCTTTCCTTTGCATGTTGGTTGCTGTGCAATTTGCTGTTTGCACATGGACAACTCATGGACATGTAAATGGCTAAACCATAAATGCAACCATATTCTGGGCATTTAATCTTCTTTATTTGTTTTTGGCTAATGCGATACATTACATCAAGCCCAGTGTCGGGAATTTGAACTCACAGTGTCGGCTGACACTCCAGTCCAGTAATGGGGGAGATCGCATCAATGGAAATGCTATCTTTTAGATGACACGTTAAAAACAGGTGAACGTTAAAGATGCCATGGCACTACTCCCAAGAGAAGGGAGTTTCTCTTAATGTCCTGGCCAACCATCCCCCCAAAATAAAACTTGCCATTCACTTCATAGCTGTTTGTGCGAAATTGCTGTGCGTAAATTGGCTGGCACGTTCACCCACAAAATACACACAGTCACACCACTTTACAATACAGTAAATGCCTGGTTTACTTGACACTGGGTATCTGAAATTCGCACCTAACTGGGCCCGAAGCCTAAAATTTAAAATCAAATTCCTTGGACCAAAAATTTCCACGGCCCACTCGCACGTAGACTCCCGCCATCCTACTCTTAGCGCATACCAACACTACGCTGAACAGCCTCACCATCCTCACTGGCCTTCAGTGCCAGGGATGTCGACTTTGACTCAATTTGAATCCGTGAGCGGAAGGTAGCTTAACTGCTCTCTTCTGCTGGCAGGATTTAAACAATTGCAGTACCATTACCAGCATTTACCCGCATTTTGTGGAGTCCTGTAGCTCAGTGGTTAGAGCACTCGCTTTGCAAGTGAGAGACCTGAGTTCAATTCCAGACAGAGCGGAACCTTGGACAAGTTTCCTTACGCCACACAGAGCCTAATAATAATCCCTCCAAAAAACAATAATAAATTGGTCATTTTCAATCTACGACTGTTTGTGGGACATTGCTGTGCGCAATTGGCTGCCGCGTTCGCCCACAAATATACAGTTAATTCACTTTACAGTATATTCTGTGAAGCGCTTTGGGATGTCCTCCCGACGTGAAAAGCGCTATATCAAAATGCAAGGATTATTATTATTTAAAAAAATTTAAACTTAGCAGGAAATTCTGGCTTGCCAGATCAGATTCCCCTCTTCCCCATTAGTCCAGCTAGCTGGGGTTCAAGCGTATTTCTTGTGAAGCGCTTTGAGACATTTCAATGACATGAAAAGTGGTTATATCAAATACAAGGGTTATTATTATTAAAGCCCATCTCAGGGCCTTTCTTTACGACCACATTTTTGTCGCCTCCCCCGCTACACTCACGCAATCTTCCTCAGTTCCTCCATCCCCTAAGTCAGGATCCTAGTCAATACTTTCAAGTGGTTTGAGACATTCTTCCAATGTGGTAGATGATATACAAATGTAAAATTATTGTGTTGTTAAAAAGTGATCAGAATTTTGCTCAAATTAACCCATTTTAGTAAAAAAAATTAATAAAATGCAATTTTACTAGAAGTAATATTTGGACATACAGAGATATTTCTGTATCAAAATACACAGTCACTACGCTTTACGGTATATTCATTGAAGCACTTTCAGACGTCTCGAAGACGTGAAGCGCTATATCAAATGCAAGTATTACTATTACATATAGTCTGTGAAGCGCTTTGAGACATCTCGAAGATGTGATAAGGCGCTATATCAAATGCAAGGATTATTATTATTATTTCCCGCACAAATGAACAAACAATATAAGGTTCTGTACAGCCCATTTTTACATGCTAGAAGAATTGCAATGGCTGAATTCATTGCTTTTCACTTATTTGTTTCATAATAATTTAAAGGCAAATATGCAAATGTTTCAGTCGAAAACTTGATGACAGCTGTAATAAGCAGTTGCACTTCAGGTTGGATAAGATACATGAAGAAATCCAGGATTTCAGAGGTTGAATTGAATTTTCTCATGAAGTGATTAGAGTTGCATCTCCCAAAACAAGTTATTTAAATAAATATTAAATAAATCAATCTCCTTGCATTTGATACTAACCTGTCATGCCAGGAGGACATCTCAAAGTGCTTCACAGGATTTTAATGTAAAATTGGTAGCTGTATGAATTTTAGCAAATGTGGCAGCCAATTTGTGCACATCATTGTGGGGATTGCTGTCCAGGTTACCAGGAAACACTACCTTCTCTTCTAAATAGTGCCATGAGATCTTTAACATTCACATAATCAGACAGGTGGGACCTCAGTCATTTCCAATAATGGAACTCTCCCCAGTGATTGTCAGCCTAGACGATGTGAATTCAAAGTTAACTGAACCAAGCTGACAACTGACAAATTGCTTTTGATGAGGTCTAATTTAAGATATTTATTAATGGGATTAATTTCATTAGCCAGAAATATGTTACACCGTACTTATATGAGTCCTATAGCTCAGTGGTTAGAGCACTTGCCTTGCAAGTGAAAGACCTGGGTTCAATTCCCAGCAGGGCAAGTTTCCTTACTCCACATACCTGATAATACCTTCAGAAAAAAACAATAATAATTTGGTCAGTCAAATCCACAACTATTTGTGAGACACTGCTGTGCGCAATATACAGTCAATTCACTTTACAGTATATTCTGTGAAGTGCTTTGAGACGTCTAGAAGATGTAAAAAGTGCTATATCAATGCAAGGATTATTATTATATTACACCAACTCTCGGGAACTGCACTCTGATATGATGGACTTCTGGAGTGGATATCCAATGGTTACAGAATTCAGAAAATTGGCCTCAGACAACATTGAGTTCTTTGGTGGTGATGTTGCATATTCTGTGTTGTCTAACAGTGCAGAGTAAATGTATAATTAGAATTTCAACATAATATTTCTTCTTTTAGGCACCACAGTTTTATCTTAAATGCAGCCAGACTTTTTGCAACAGTTTACAGTGTTCCTTATGAAGAACAGGTAAGATTTAGATATTTATTCAAAGATTTCTTATGTAGCCAATACATGCAGGAAATGTTAATACACAACAATAACAAATTGCATTCATATTGTGCCTTTCACATCAGAAGAAAGTCCCAAGGTGAGTAAGCTGCATGCCAGGCAATGATGATCTCAGTGACCCAGTTTGGAGCAAAATTTGCTTTGTTCCTTATGGCGTTCCAGGATTATGATTTGTACGGGCATGGGTGATGTTTTAACTGGGAGAGATTTCTTCAAAGGTATGAAGGCCATAAAGAATGACCATAAATTGTAACCCCTTGTTTCTATACAAGGAATAAGGTTATATCGATCACAGATTGTCCCTAAATGTTGAAAAGTCTCAAAGTACTCAAAGGAGAGTGAGGGTGGTAGGGAGGGTAAGGGAGTTTGATTCCAAATTCACACTACATAACTGCAATGTATCAGTGCTCAAACTCACTCTGCATAATTACTGAATGCACCACTGGCTAACTTCCCCCTCCCTTACTCAAGATCAATGAGACCAATTGTAGCACCTGACTGCTGACATCAGCTTAATGTTCAGCAGTCAAGCTTTCTGGGCTGTATGGACTAATATTGCAGTTTTATACACTTGGCCATCCTGTAGGACTCCTGTAGTGTATTTGGTTAGAAGCACCCGTCTTGCAAACGAGAGGACCCAGGTTCGATGCCCAGGCAGGGCGAAACCTTAGGCAAGTTTCCTTACTCCAGGCGCCTCTGTTAACCCAGCAGTAAGTAGGAACACAGTTGTTAGTCGATTGGAAGATCACTTTCTGGGGGTAATAATCCCTTCAAATAAATAAAACTAATAATAAATTGTTCCCACTGTATGTGGGACACTGCTGTGCGCAATGGCTACTGTGTTTTGTCTACAAAACATAATTCACTTCACAGTATATTCTGTGAAGCGTTTTGAGACATCTCAACAACGTTATAAGACGCTGTATCAAATGCAAGGATTATTATTATCCTGTGAGCTTCCTTGAGAATTGGATAGTTTTGAATGAATCTTATTCACAATGCAATACCCATTAAATAGCCAACCAATGCATTAGATGAAATGCTTTCAACAGTTTACATCCCCCTGTGGTGTTCTCTATAACTATTTGCTACCCAGAATTAAATCAATCTGTCACAAAAGCACATGTTTTTCAAAAGCTGTTTTAACAGTTTGAGCAAAAATTCAGTTTGTTGTTTGGAAGAAAAGCAACGAATGGGTGATTTTTTGATAGACTCGTAATTATGAACTGTAAACTGGAAAGTATTTATACCACGTACCCAACATTTTTTTTAAAATCTGATTTGTTACAGGACTTGTCCAGGGAAGCTATTTTACAAATACTGTCCAAGGTCAAGGTTCCAGAATTCACACCATCTGAAAAAGTAAGTAGCTGAGACCCCACTTGACATGTTTGTTGTAAAGAACAAGCTGCATTGTGGAGACGAGCAAGTATCTCACTCGACGCTAGTCTGACACAGCTGATCTCTTGGATGTTAACTGTGAACTTTTCTGCTTAAACTATTGTAATGTATGTCTTATTTTTAAAGCTCCATAAATTCACAAACTTGATCAGAATTGCACACATTGGGGACTAATTCATAGAACGGCTAATTGTGGTCTCTGAAAGTCAACCACTGTAAAAATAAAAGCCTCACAGCAAAACAGCCCAATGACCCTTTTACTCAATGGCTTTTTAAAAAAAAACTTTTCTGACTTTCTAAAACCACAATTTGTCCCATTGCAAATGTTGCAAGTTAGAGAACACAGAACTGCCCAATTTTCCTAATGTTCTTCATCGTGCCACTGAAACTAAAAACCCAAAAGCTACTGGATTTGATTTTCCTCAATGCATTTCCAGCGCAAGTAGATAGGTAATTTTGCTGCATTTGCTATGCTATTGTAAACCACAGATTAAGAATTTGTACAGAGTCACATTGAATTCATAATTAGCTTTCCTGTCTACTTAATACACAGAAGTCCCATTTCAACCATCACTACTTTTAAAACCAGGTAGTATATGATGGTTCAGTGATTATTTTTGATCCATATAACGTGGATATATTGCCACTTCATTGTGATTAGTGGTTCAAATACAATACAAAATTACATTTGTAAAGTGCCTTTCACTTCGGGAGGACATCCCAAGGCACTGAGCAGCCAGGGATTAGGACCCGAGCGGGGTGGGGTGGTATTGGGATCAGGGAGGGTGGAGGGCAAAGAGGGTAGGACGGTGGCCGAAGGCACAGTTGAAGGGGAGGGACTTGAGGTGTACCTTGAAGAAGGTGAGGGAGCGAGCGAGGTGAAGGGAATGTGGGATGGAGTTCCAGAGGGTGGGGGCAGAGAGGCTGAAGGCCCGACCACCGATGGTGGGGTGGGCTGAGCGGGGGACATGGAGCAGGCTGGAGCCTGCTGAGTGGAAGGAGTGGACAGGTTGATAAGGGGTTAGCCGGTAGGAGGGGCCAAGGCCATGGAGGGCCTTGAAGGTGAGGATGAAAATTTTGAACTTGATCCTCTGAGGGATGGGGAGCCAGTGGAGCCGGGCGAGGGTGGGGGTAATGGGGTCACGGAGCAGGTGTGAGAGAGGACACAAGCTGCAGAGTTCTTGATAATCTGCAGCTTGTGGAGAGAATAGTTGGGGAGGCCAACAAGCAGGGCATTGGCATAGTCGAGCCTGGATGTAATGAAGATATATAATGAGGGTTTCAGCGGCCTGAGGGGTGAGGGAGTGGCGGAGTCGGGCGATGCTGCGGAGATGGGGGATGCCAGAGCGGGTCATGGCACGGATATGGGGGAGACAGTTGAGGGTTGAATAAGACGCCTAGGTTTCTGACTGGCTTGATGAGGTGGAGTATGCATCCAGCACTTTTTAATTATGTTTAAAATAGGGATATTTCCAGGCTAAAGTCTGAGCTCCCAGTGTGTTAAGGTGGTGTCTGGGATGACTAATTTTTAAAATGTTAGTTAATTTATTTGTCTTGTATATGTATTGTCTTTTATCCAAAGCAATGGATAAAAGACAATACAAATTTACATTTGCATAGTGCCATTCACGTCTGGAGGACGTCCCAAAGAGTTTAACAATACTGGCTTAGCACCCGAGCTGGGACAATATTGGCTTAGCACCTGATGTGGAAAACTCAAGGAAGCAGGAACTACATGTGAACCTACTGTTTTTTTTAGCGACTTTTAACAGTGCTTCAGTGCATCTCAATTATTAACTATCATTACCTTTTTACTTAAACAAATAAAACTCATGCCACAGATATTTTGAGGAAAGATTTACTAGTTAAAGTTTTCTTCATTACCAAGGAGTTGTCTCTAGCAACATCTACAGGACTTGTAAGTTGTCAGCTTTTAGCCTTTTCCTCTTTGTGTCCTGTGCTCGTAGTGTTCCTGTGGCCAGTAGAGCTGTTACTTACTGCTTCGGTGCCTGGCTACATTTTAGTTTAAAATGTACATTTCTTTAGGAGAAGAGTTATTTAGAGACAGGAGGAGAAGCCTAGCAAAAGGATTTTTTGTGTTATGTTCCTGGTTTTCAGTAGATGAACATAGAAGCAATAAATTTACCATTTTATATTTTGTGGTACTACAGATCAGATATTATGATTCTAAGTTTGTGCAATTTCAAGCTTCTAGCAAGTATGACCACTTTATAATTTTTTAACGGTGTAATTCTCATGATAATAATGATAGTAACACAATTTGTTTTAGTAGCTGCTATCTTATCACAAATGACAGTATATCATCTTGCCTTTCTGACGGGTCCGAATGTCACATCTAACCCCTCCCCTTATAATAATAATAATAATCCTTGCATTTGATATAGCGCTTTTCACGTCGGGACGACGTCCCAAAGCGCTTCACAGAACACACTGTAAAGTGAATTGACTGTATATTTGTGGGCGAACGCGGCAGCCAATTGCACACAGGGATGTCCCACAAACAGTCATAGATTGAAAATGACCAATTTATTATTGTTTTGTTTTGGAGGGATTATTATTAGGCTCTGTGTGGAGTAAGGAAACTTGCCCAAGGTTTCGCCCTCTGCCTGGAATTGAACTCAGGTCTCTCGCTTGCAAAGCGAGTGCTCTAACCACTGAGCTACAGGACTCCACTTTTATTGTCCATTCATTGTCCATTCCTGTACCTATAAAGCGCTTTGAGACATCCTACCAGAACATATGCTACATGAATTCAAATTGCTGTTGATAGAGGAGTTAATAGTTGATGAAATTGTCCCAACAGTTAAACATACCTTTTTTCAGGAGGATTGTGAAGTGTGTCAGTTCTTTTGAACAGACTGATCCTTTTGGCTAATTGTTTGTTATTTGTTTCTAATGGCAGTAAAAATGCATGCGTCAGCAATAATGCTTTTTTCCCCATTGTTGACTTTTCAACTTTAACCTTTGTACTCTCCGGAAATGGGGAAGAGAGGCGGGAAAGACCAACAATAAAGTGATTTTTAAGACACACACACGCCCCTGAGACAGAAAGAAACAATATATAATAATCCAAACATTCACCTTATTATAGTGAAATAATTGACAGTATATAGACGAAAATAAACAGCCACTTTGCACAAAGCAATGTCCCACCAAAAGCAGGAAGTCAGCAATAATTTTTTTTATCTGGGGATTGTTGACTGGGAAACTCCCTTCTCATTTCGAATAGTGCTCTTTAATATCCACCTGAACAGGGAGTGGAGACTTCAGTTTAACATCTCATTTAAAAGATGGCACCTCCATCAGTGCAGTTGTCCCCAGCACTGTTTTGGAGTGTCAGCTTAGACTATGAATTCAAAGTCCTGACGTGGGTTGGAACCCACAACTTTCTAACTCAGCGGTGAGAGTGCTTCAAACAGAACCAGACTGACACCTTGGCTGAAGTACAGTTCTTACGTAGCCAATAAATATGATTCTGAATGAAATGGGAATTTGTCATTGCTTATAGTGTAAACATGTGTTTGAGGACGTGTGGCTTAGCTCTACTAACTCTTTCTGTGATCTAACTAGTGATCGAACTAGAATTATTTTGTGCATATTCAACTGCTTTGCATGGGTGTTCTGTTCAGTGTTTTTGGAAATCGTACTGGCCATAACTTTGGGTTAGCTGTTAGTTTTTACCTAGCTGGAGTAATGTTATTGGGACCAAACAGCAGCTCCTATTTAAACCTTCGCTGTAGTGTCCAATTTGCCTGGATCAACCTTGTCAATTCTTTTCATAATCTTGAATTGCAATTAGGTTACTTTAAAGCTTCTTCTTTTTCAAAGAAAACATGCTATTATCTTTTCATTAGTTCTCGAGCAGAATATTGTCAATGTAATGTTCCTCTTAGGCAGCATGGACCAACTGGTGGTCCGCGGGCCGCAACCAATCTGGCGGGTGATTCTATCCGGCCCAAGATCATTTCCAAAATTCCAACGTCTGCTCCCTCCCTCCCTGGTGAACGTCCTCCTAGGGCAGCGGCAGGAGCCAGTGGTTGGGAGAATGCAGCGTGAAGAGTGAAAATAATGCCGGCCTTTACTCCTTCCCTCTCCTCTTTGAAGGCACGTCATGACCTAAAGAGGGAACAGTAATGAATTCCCACCACGGAAGTCCAGAAACAGATGAACAGCAGTCCTTCCGAGAGACACATTTTAGCCCTCGTCTGTGTTATAATTACACAAGCTTTAAAAAATGTAGTGAGGGAGGAGGGGGAGATGAAAGCTTCCTGTTCAAATTGTGCTTTGTTTTTTTGTTTATAGCAAATAGTAACGGATGAAAATATAAAGAAATCTGACCAATCAAAATTAATAGTAAGCAGTGAAGAGGAACGAGTAGCCATCGACTTATTGAGCGAAGCCATATCCACAGGACTTGCGACCAAAGGTACTTCAGTTTGAGATTTGAAGACTTCTTTACTGTGTGTAAATATGTACCTGTTCACCGCCATAAGTCAGTAACTTTACTTGCAAAGGGAGAACACGCCCATAGTTACTTTAAGCATTCCCTCAGCACTGCTCCCATGTCTCAGTGGGCATCTGAAGTTGCGGAGTAGTGCGTAGTTAATTAACCAGGGTAATCATTTCACTGAGTGAGTTGTTTTCAGCTGGGATAATGGTGGGGTAATGTGTGTTCTCACTGTTCCTGGGCCAGGGAGAGAATCATCCAAAGTTTCCCACTCCCAAAGACTGTCCAACATCTGTGTGTCTTGTCCACATGCTTGACATGTCTTTGTGTCCGTGTGGACACTCGTTGAGGACAGGTTTGAGTTTCCTGTAATTCCTCTACAACCATAGCCTGGCCATACTCGCTGTCCAGACTTAAGTGTGATCAATGGCCATTCGAGCAAGGTTCTATGGTATCTGTACACCAGTCAAAATGATCACTTTCCAGAGAGGAGAAAAATAGCTCTGAGAGGAGAGATGAATGCCATAATTCCATGTTAAATATTTGCACAAGGGATTGAATCAATCAATGGATGTTTGCTTTCCCTGTGATAGATCACCTTATTATGATGCCAGTCGCATTCGAGAAAGACGATGATAGGAACGGGCACATAGACTTCATCACAGCCGGGTCTAATCTACGTGCAAACATGTACAACATAGAGACAGCGGATAGATTGAAGACTAAGAGGATTGCTGGGAGGATCATTCCCGCCATCGCCACAGCTACTGCCGCTGTCTCAGGACTGGTAGGAACTTTCACTATTCTTCATGCTCCCAGTTTCCATATGACACAAAATGTGTTTTGTTGTGTTTAAAGCCAAATTGTAAGCTCTGTTTTATTTTTTCTCTGACATATAATGACTTTGTGAACCAAAGATAAAAGCAAATTGAAAACTATCATCGCAACTTAGTTGAACGCCACGGAAATGCCCAACACAGTTTCTACAGTAAACCCTGGCTTAACTTGTCACTACCACTTAAGTCATCATGATGTCAATATCCTGGCCATATTTATTTATGTATTTATACATATGCCTAACGTGGTACGCTGGATAACTCATCACTTATCCCTTTCCCTTGGAGCGACAAGTTATCAGGACTTTACTGAAGTTCCCTAAAGTTCCAATCTTTCCATTATGTCAAAGAAGGCACCGAGCAAGAGATCCATTTCTGATCATAGTTCCAGAAGATCAGTTGTCCAGATAACTGCAAAATCTTACGTTTACTAATCTAATATGGAATATTGTTTCCCTGTTCCCCCAGTGATCAGGCTCTTTAGTCATATACTGCTGATGCTGCACTTTCATACGTTCTACTTTGCTTGCCAGGTTGCCCTGGAGCTAATCAAGGTTGCTGGAGGCCATCCGTTTGAAGCCTACAGAAACTGTTTCTTTAACCTTGCTATTCCTGTTATTGTGTTCACTGAACCAGCCGAAGTAAAAAAGACTCAAGTAAGGTAAAGAAAAATAAAATTTGTGTTCGCAATCTTTCCTCACATTACATATAAATTGCTGGCACCTTCAAACATATCATTTGTTTCCTTCCAAACACGAGTGCGCCAGACATTCAAGGGCATTAGAGCTTCAATTAATTTCCACCTGACTTTATAATGAGGCAACAGATTGTTGCAAAGTGTCTCAACAACAACAACAAATTGCATTTATATTGTGCCTTTTACGTCGGGAAGACGTCACTAGCATTGATGATGATGGCAAAGACAGCTGATCATCGGCAGGAATTTTAAGGGCAGACCAGTCAATAGGACCTGGAATTCTTCCCATTCAGCTCCTATTAACCCTGCAACCCAAAGCCTTAATGGGTAGGGTGGTCCTAGCTCGATAAACAACAGGAAAGCTTGCCAGACAGTGCTCTCAATGGCAAACTATGCGGTTTTGTCTGGTTAGACTTCAGCAGTTCCCCAACGCACATTCTGTGGTCCCCAAGCCTTAGCTCTTGCCAACCTGTGCCTGTTACTCTCCAGGATTAGGTGAGCAGGATGTGTCCCTCGAGGGAGAGCGCGCACATTCTATTCCAATAAATATCTCTGGGATTTCCAGGTGTAGGTGAGATACCTGGAACTTTGTTTGGTTTGGATACATGTTGATGGGTTTCCATATTTATCGTACACCTGGCTTACCCAACAAAAGATTACTTCCTCTGTTAAATAGGTAACAAGGGGCCACAATTTTAGGATCACTGCTGAAAGCAAAAGGGGAGTTAAGGAAAAATGTTTTCATGCAGACGATTATCAGAATATGGAATAATTTTCCACACGTACCTATTGAGTTTGAGATCATAAGAACATTTAAAGGAGAATTGGAAACAATTTGAAGAGTAACAAAATTTAAGAAGGGAACAGCAATTGGGAATAGAGTATTTTGCTCCAGTACAGGAGTTGGTACTACCACAATGGGTCTGTGTTACTTTACCTTTGATTCAATGACTGAGCTGCCTATCTCTACTATGGGCTGAAATTTCATTAGGTTTTCATGGAAAAGACAATCATTTTAAACTGTACAAACCATCAAATGGAGCAAATTTAACACAAATTGCTACAAAAGCAGGTGGTCGAAAACTAGTTTGCTGATAATGAATACTTTTGTTTTTGGAACAGGAATGAGATCTCATTTACAATCTGGGATAGGTGGACTATTTACGGAAGGGAAGATTTCACATTACTAGATTTCATAAAGGCTGTAAAAGTAAGAGATTTGTACATTATTTTATGAATATGTTACCTTTATTATTTTACCTGTAATCACTCATATCCCGGTGTTAATCTGAGGGAGCGATCCCACATTTCAGTATTTCTGTGTATTTATATTGTCAGCCATTGAAGTGGGCAGAGTTAGCATAACCTTAATACTGTGTTCATTGGTTACACTTTCCATTTTTCTGAATCCTGAATAAATAATTCGGATACAACAAGGTTGTAAGATATAATAAAGTGAAGCAGCTTTGGGGAAACAGACCTCCAGTTGTGTTGTCACTGGGGGAGTCATTCTCTGCACGCATTGTTTTTTCTGGCAACAGTGCCATTCTCTTGCTTAGCAACATTCAGTAGTATCTGCAAAGTGGCATTAAACCATATTTATCACATTGGTACAAATAGACAATGGTCACTGAACCACTTCCAGCATTACTTATTGCACTTTACTAATAACTGAATAGAATCCTAGTATTTTACAGCAGAGAGCGAGGTGGTGTCTGCTAACAATCTAAACAAATCAACCATTTGTTCATTGCGTGCGAAGGCAACAGACAAGCTGGTTGTTTCTGTTCCTGTGGAATCCTAGTATACAGAGCATGTCCTAGCTTAGCTTAGCTTTGTCAGCTCCTTCTAAGATCTGCTCTTTGGGTGAGAAAGGGCAGGTTTGATATGCAAGACCACTGGTTAATCTACTTCTTTTTCCCAGGAGATGTACAGCATTGATCTCACAATGGTGGTGCATGGAGTGAAGATGCTCTATGTGCCAGTCATGCCAGGACATACAAAGCGTCTAAAACTAACGTAAGTACATGTCAAACCAGGAAAGTAAAAGAAATGACTGAGACTGTCGAGAAGGGATTTTTTAAACCAATATTCTGTTCCACTTTTTCCAGTATGTATTCTTTTCCATTCCTTCACAGAATGCAGAAGTTAGTGAAACCCACGTCAGACAGGAAATACGTTGATTTGACTGTGTCATTTGCGCCCTTATCAGATGGTGATGAGGATCTGCCGGGTCCCCCAGTCAGGTACTATTTCAGACCTGAAAACAACTGAGCGATCCCACACTTCTTCTCAATGTTACAGCTCGTACCACTGAAAGTACCACTGGAGGTCCACTTACTTAATTTGCTGAATTGTTCTGCTTTCTTGTGATGTAAATGCCTCTCTAATCTTCTGCATAGTCTCTATGCAGGCTGCCTTAATAGCGACAATAAAATCCGTGTTTTGAAATTATGTCCCGCATGCGGTGTGGTTATACAGACCAGACAATCTGATTACAAAAGAGCCATCTTCTGTACAGACTCCCCCCTCACTGCTTGAATGTAAGTGTATCGTTTAGCGTTCATTTGAAAATGAAGTTTCATGCTGCCCTGGATCCAACACAAAGCTCGAGCCATTTAGCATAACTACTGTATACTATTTGGCAATAGGTAAACCTTGACTGATCTGCACAATTCCACTTCGAGCACAGGCTTCCATAAGAGGAATCTCCAAATCCACTTTGAGAGTCTGAAGTGTCAGATATACTCCTCAGTCTCTGCAAGCAGCTAACATCAGTTGGTTGTTCTGGGTGGGGGGAGGGAGATATAAGTAGATGTGCTGTTACAATTGGCCTCTGGGCCCTTGTGTAGGGACGACAAAAATAACCAGCTTTCCCGTTCCTGATTGCTATCTCGTATATATTGGTGTGTGTGGGTGGATGTTGGGTGTGAGAACAGGATTAAGTCACATACATTAAAACTGGCTACTTGGGAGAGGTTCAGAAGATTGACATACCTGTGGAATACACGTACGCTTAAGGGTCAGCACCTTCTGGAAGGAAGGGGGTATATAAAGAAAACTCTAGGGTAACACCTAAATTAAACAACATGGGATTTTAACTTTATTTCCTGTTTGCATTAGTTCTGTAAAGTTTCCGGCATATCCAGTCTGACATTTATTTTTAACATTCACTAGGGTTGTAATGTGCACTGAATATCACACTTAGAAGTGTGTTTAAAAAAAACTATTTGAAGACTATTGCTCGTTTATTTTGCATATTATTTGCACATTTTTGAGAAGTTCAGACGTTGAATCTTTGATTCTTACAAAGCAAGATTTGTTTTGATACCTTTTCCCTGGGTATTGTAAAATGAGAGGTACGATTTCAAGATTATGACCCGTTGAGGTTTAGAACTGCAATGGTACATCTTTTACAATGACATTCACATCACATTTTGTATACTAATTTTAGGTGGGAGTAGACCTTCAGCCCATCTAGTCTCCCCATCCAAGTTCTCACATGTCTTCTTTGATGCATTTATCTCTAAATCCGATAATACTGAGTCCCTTTATTTGGCAAAAAAAAATCTAGTTCCTTTTGACACCTTTTGTCTTTTTTTATGTTCCACCTCTTCTGGTAGCTTATTTTACATATCTTTTCAGAAAACAACTGTTCGGCATTTCCTATTCACTTATATTCCCGTGAATATAAAATCTCTTGTTCTTCCATTTTGTGCACCAAACAAAACATATATGAAGCCAAATTTTCCAAATCCCTTACGTTCTTAAATATCTCACTGAAGTCCCTCCTCTGTCTTCACTGTTCAAGAGAGAGAAGACCTAGGTCAGCTAAAATAATCATGATTTTAACAAACTAAAGTCTAAGCTGTGGCTGTGCGTGAGATGTTTGTGCTGATCAGTCCAGTTTACCTCGCCATGGTGGAAATCCTGTTTTCCAATGTTTTCAAAACACTCTGTACCTGTACCTGGAATTTTACATAAAGGAAACAGAACTATTTGTACATCTTTGATATTTGCATTTATGTTTTGTTCTTTGTAAATAATGCAACCAAACAACCTGATTAATTTAGCTTCACTTTTTATTTTTGTTAAAACAGTTCTTTATGTGAAATATAGTACTGCACTGCTGTGTTTAATATGTTTAGGAGGGTGATTCAGAGAACTATAGTACGAGCCTAAAGTGCCAATCGTCGATAAATTTTAAGTCACCAATCCGCTGGCTCAACTTGCTTGGAATTCGAAAAACGTAACCTTAAAATCCTGTTTTTTTGTGACTTCCTGAGTTACAACACATGTTGCAAGCATGATTGGAAATCCATCTACTGTTGTCCAAAGGAAGTAGGATCATGAATTCACTTTTATGTTATACAGAAATCTGGAGGCTTGTGGAGTGCTTTACCTAGACTTTCACTCAGGTGAAACCAAGCACTGTGAACTGGAAATGTAACTGATAATAAAATAAAATGATTTGAATGAGCTGCTCTTGTAAAAATTTGTAGTAATGTAGCTACCAAACGGGTTGTTTGTACACAAAGTATGTCGTACATTTCACGGTTGTGGTGTTGCTGCTCAGCTGCAAAGAGTTTTGTGGGCCAGGTTTCCATTTATAACTAGTGCAATATTTTAAATCTAAATCAATATTGATGTAGAGGTGTCAGCCTGGCTCAGTTGATAGCACTCTTGCCTCTGAGTCAGAAGATTGTGGTTCAAACCCCACATTGGGATTTTGAGCTCATATTGCAGCCCTGGGGAGCATTGAATTATTGGAGGTACTGTCCTACAGATGAGACATTAAACCAATCCGATTATCTTTTCAGGTGAATGTTAAATATCCCATGACACTATTCGAAAGGAGAAGGGAGTTTTTCTCTTTGTGCAGGCTGTTTGTTGGATGTTTGATGTGCATAAATTGGTTGCTGTTTGCCTACACAACATCACTACCTGCAGTAGATCTTAAAATAATCTTAAGATGTATTGATGACACGATAAAGCACTTGAATAAAAGCAAGGATCACTTTTATCATTCGCTCATTAATCCCCTTTAAATTGCCCTGGTTTTACTCAAAATTTCCAAAATCTTCATCTTACACAGGCCTTTCATTTTTAATTTAAAGAGATTTTTAAAAATTGGTAAACTTTATTGCCAGAAAAAGAGCTGAGCAGATGTGTCAACTTGGCTCAGTTGGTATCACTCTCGCTTCTGGTTCAGAAGATTGTGGATTAAGCCTCACATTGGCACTTTGGGGGCATCAGCTGGGCCAATAGAAAAGTGCGGCCTCACTTTTTCCATGGAATCCACTACAAACGTCCTCCTCCGCAACAAACGCCCCCTTCCACGACAAACCTGTACACGTAGTGTGCTGGGCCCCGGACCCCTCACTGCTGTGAAGCGACTCCGGTCACCTACGTGTGGCATGGGGAGTGTTTGTATCACGGAAGTGCCGTGAGCAAGGAAATCAGCTTCGCCGGAGCCCAGGAGCGAAACAGCTCCTGCCACCAATTCTTAGTAAGTGCTGTAACTATTCAAATTAACATTTTTAGTATTTTAAACTTAACTACGTGTTCAGCAAATACATGCCTATAGTTTTAAACCAAGTTGTTTCCTAAAATGTCTCTTTCAGCACCAATCAATCCTCTGCAATTTCCCGCAAAATTTATCAAATGCCCCTTAATTTTTAGCAAATATTTCCACACTTTTCTATCGGCCCAGCTCATCAGCGACTCGGCTGATTCTTCAATGCAGTGTTCACTACAATCTCAAGTAAGACAATTGTATTTCAATCCAGATTTGGTCTTTACTTTGAGTATTCTGCAAACATTTAATTTTTTTCAAGCAATTCTATCAACCCAATCATGTTTAATGTAATTTGGATATTTTATACATACAAGTGCAGTTGTGAAAATGGTGCATAGACAATTGAATATTGTGAAAACTGAATTTGTGACATTTACACCCTTATGCTGTATTTGACATTGTGGCACTTGAGAATTGGCTTAAATCGAGCCACAGCTGTCAAGTAGCTGGAGTTTGCTGATGTGTGGAACTGCCCCCCTCTCAACTTATTTTACAAAGCAGAATTTCAAGACCCAGCCGCAATACAGACATCCACCACAAGTAATAATAATAATAATAATCCTTGCATTTGATATAGCGATTTTCACATCTTCTCAACGTCTCAAAGCTCTTCACAGAATAGACTCTAAAGTGAATTGACTGTATATTTGTGGGCGAAACGCGGCAGCCAATTGCGCACAGCAGTGTCCCACAAACATTCGTGGATTGAAAATGACCAATTTATTATTGTTTTGTTTTGAGGGATTATTATTAGGCGTGTGGAGTAAGGAAACTTGCCCAAGGTTTTGCTCTGCCTGGAATTGAACGCAGGTGTCTCACTTGCAAGGCGAGTGCTGTAATCACTGAGCTACAGGACTCCACGCAGACACCCATGCTGACCAGCATAGGTTCGCACATGCCATGACTGAGTATTCAACTTAAAGTTGATTTCTTCACTAATATATTCCTATCAAACACTAAACAAAGACATAATCCAATTCAGCTTCCCAAAGATCCAATATGTCTTATTTTAATAATAATCCTTGCATTTGATATAGCGCCTTAACAGGTCGTTGTGACGTCTCAAAAGAGCTTCACAGAATTACTGTAAAGTGGACTGATTGTGTATTTGGTGGGCGAAACATGGCAGCTAGATTGCACACAACAGTATCCCACAAACAGCCATGGAGTGAGTGACCCCCACCCCATTTTACTTGGGGAATCTGTTAGCCAGGACCCAGGAGAAACTTCCTTCTCTTTTCGAATAGTGCCATAGGATCTTTAATATCCACCTATACAGGCAGACAGGACCTCTGTTTAATATCTCATCCAAAGAGTGAGACTATTTTAATAGCTCTATCTGTTTCCACGAGTGACATTACAAAACTAATGTATTTTTTATGTGAAGCTAAACTGCAGAAGATTGCAGATAATATAGCACTTTGTAATAAAATAATCCTAACAAGCTGCAGCTAATCACATCATTGCATACAATCTAAGTATTCATATTACTAGCATACTTGGACTGTGTATAATTAGAAATGTAATCCTAATTAAGCGCATCAGTGATCAATAGGATGTTAAAATATCAGTGGGGGATTAAGCCTATTCCACTGCAGAAAGGTTTCATGAGGTCCTTTCATGAGTTACCAGCCACATGACTGGTGAGGGTGATTTGGGTGAGGCAGCCAGTGCTATAGACTTTGTAATCACCACTGGTAAACAATGGAGTGGCAAGTGTTAAAATGAAGACTTTGGGGGAAAGAGCAATTAGCTAAATAAAACCTCAATTAACAGGTAAAATAATACAAAAATGGGATAAGCAAAAAAAAACTCAAAAGTTGAGATCCTGGGTCAGTGACCTGAATTGCAACTTATTGCAGAACAGAATTATAGAGAGAAAAAAAATGTAAAAGCAAAGGACACTACAAATTCTCTCTACAATACCAGTGACGTGTATCCACAAAGCTAACTCATTAGAAGACATGATATATTGTGATCCATGACTGACAGTTTTCTAATCTTCTGATAGCATGAGTTGCCTGAAGTCCCATCTACAACAAAGTAACATGTTTGCACATACGGCGGAGAACAGGCTTATTTTAAGGCATGGATGTGCCACCTGACTGGCTTCCTAGCCTACTAATTCCACACCACGTTAACCACGTAACCTTTTCCACAGCACTTTTGTTCAGCTACTCTTCTCCCATAGAGTGATCCAGATTCAATCCCATTGTCACTTGTGGGCTCAAACTCCGCACTGGGATTTTTCAAAGCAGGACTCGGGTGCACTGCATTGTTAGAGATGTCTTTAGATGAGACATCTGCTTATTTAGGTGGATGTTAAAGATCCCAGGGCACTATTTTAATTATTACATTATAAATATATTAACATTTTTTATCGGTGTAGCTGGGTTTAACTGACACTCTCTCTAGGTTCAACAGCATTTCATGTTGAAGTTTGTTCAAGACTCCACTAATGATTAAAAACAATGAAACCCACTTGTATACAACTCATGGGAACATGTCAGTAAATCAAGCAGATGGTCATCCAACAAATGAACATGCCCCTAACCAATTGCTCCTGTAATAGCCTAACTGCTGCGGAAACAGAAGTTAGGTAGATGCTCTTCACACTTGTTTTGGTTTCCATTTTCTCCCCTCGTTTCTCGGCTTCAAAGGATCAGAGGTGCAGGTGTGAGTGGATGGCACAGTAGATGGTGCTCTTAATTTGACTTGAGCACTTGTATGCAATGGGTTAATTATTCTTTGAAACCTGTTGTCTTCTCTTCATCAACTTCTGCATAAGTTCATCAGAATCCATTCCATCTAGAAAACAGACAAGAAAACAAATACCATTTTGCTGTCACTTTCCCAGAATTTGTTGCCCAGCGAAACTTACAACGCACAAGGTTTTCGCTGGTTAGCAACAGTACACCAACACACACTCTAGAGTCCCTAAGCTTTGGCTCTTGCCAACCTGTGCCTAATACTCTCAAGAATTAAGTACAATATTTAAATAGAAAGAGGGAATACACATTCCATTCTAGACATGGAGAAATGTCCATGTTTTGGGGGCATATATATATTTGGAACTCTCAATATGATTTAGATACTCTGAAGCACGGTGATGGTTTTCTGCATGTATCAAAAATTTAGGTGACCAACAAATACAAACTTGTTCTAAACACATAGTATAAAATAAATTCATTCATTTGAGTACCTCCAGTAAACTGTTTTGGATTCCTTGGTTGGGGTGCAGTTTGATTGGGGGGCTTCTTATCTGCATAAAAAGAAAAGACAAGCTCAAGTTACTTTCAAAATCCAACAGTCTGCCAATCATGGTCAAATCAGACACAAGAAGTTAGTTTACGAACTTGCCTGTAAAGTTCATTTGGTTGATCTTAAAAAGTACTGAAACAAAGAAAAATAGGTAAATTTGTTGTGTGGAAACATCAAGTAAAATTGGTATCAGACAGTAATCACCAGGAATTAACACTGTCTTAGACTGAGGATCACAAGAGAGATGCGGGTGAAGAAGGCCCTTCAGCCTACAATAATAATAATAAAAATAATAATCCTTGCATTTCATATACCGCCTGATCACATTGATGAAACGTCTCAAAGCGCTTCAAAGAATATACTGTAAAGTGAATTGTCTGTATAATTTGTGGGCGAAATGCGGCAGCCAGTCGCACACAGCAGTGTCCCACAAGCAGTTGTGGATTGAGTGACCAAATTATTATTTTTTTTTGAAGGAATTATTACACCTGGAATGCAATCCGCCAATCGACTAACAACCGGGTTCCTACTTACTGCTGGTAAACAGAGGAGTGTGGAGCAAGGAAACTTGCCTAAGGTTTTGTCCGCCCGAGAATCCAACCCGGGTCCTCTTGTTTGTAAGGCGAGTGCACTAACCATTACACTACAGACCTCCAGCCTTTTTGATCTCATCCCTTGAGAACACTCCCCCTATCATAGTCCCCTTATCACAGCATTGAGCTGCTTTTTAAATGAGTCCAGCTTCCTGGCCTCTAAACATCCTGGCCTGGTAATCTGTTCCGGTCATTAATTACCCTCTGGGTAAAGAAATAATTTCTGGTATATGCCCTGAAATTACTGTTTTCAACTCTAGTTGTCTTGGTGTACTGAGTTTACTTTCTCAATCCCATTTAAAATATTATGAACCTCTGTAATATCCCATCCTTTCAACATTAGAACTTTTCTAATCATTGTAGTGACCAATGAATAATTAAAGTCCTAAGGGGTCATGTGGCTCAAACTGCTTAGGATAAATGCTTATGATATTTTTACTAACAAAATTGACTCAATTATCTTTCCTCCATATTCCACGAATATTAATACGGGAAACAGAACTGAGTTGTAATTCATACATTCATCATTCATGTAACTGGGTTCAGCTTCTTTCTTCTTTGGTGTTGTGTGATGTGTTGGTGCTGTAGAAATAAACAGACACATTCAGATACTTTCAGGGTTATGTCAGCAAAGACACCAGTTTTGATAGAACACTGATAATGACGCAAACAATTCACTGTTAGACAGGAGCTTGTACATGGCAATGAAAAATTATATTGATACATGTGCATGGCTCAGACATTAGACAGGCGATTGTACAACAAACATTAAGCAGGAGATTATAAATGGCTCAGACATTAGAGAAGAGATGGTACGAGGCTCAGACATTAAGCAGGAGATTGCACGTGACTTAGATACTAGACAGGTTAGGAGGGTCTTTTTCACTCAGAGGATGGTAAGAGTACGGACATCATTGCCAGAAGCCATGGTTGATCCAAAATGCACCAAAGTATTTGAGAAAACACACAGGAAGGAGAATCTAACAGGAGAGGAGAATAGGAGGGATGGAAACTCATGTGGAGAATAAGCACTGTTACTGACTAGTTGAGCTGAATGGCCTGTTTCTGTGCCGTATTATTCAATGTAATTACACTTGACAGTATTACTTATAAATCATTTTGTGAAGTTTCAACATTATAGGTGCTACATCAAATGAAAGGATTATTATTAGAATTCTTCAAACCCTTTGATAACCAGATATTCAGTCAACTGCTTTGTAATTGGCACATCATTTCAGAATCCCATGAACAAGCCATACCATGTTTTAACGGCTGTTGGCTTGTCTCTGTCACCACATATCTTGTTTCCAGGTTTGGTTCTAATTTGTGCCATTTGTGTCTGGCTCCTGGGGAATCGGGTTGTTTTTGTGACAGTTTTCTTGGCAGTTCTGGGTCACAATGAAATGGAGCTACTCTTGCGTGTGGCACGAGCTTGTGTTGTCCTTCTGGGTTTTCTACATCGGCATCAAGAGCAAAGGCAAAAAGCACACAATGGTCACATTTTGTAATACAGATGCAAAGTTTACAATGTTTCAGCTAACACAACCGTACTATGCAACCAAACGCTACAGTTTTATCAATAAGGTGAGTTTGGGCCAAAGCCTTGCCCTTGACCTATTCACCGATCGAAAAAAAAATCGCAGTGGAATAATTTTGCTTACAAATTTGGAGGGAAAAACATTCAAATTCTTGAGGACATGTCAATCAAATGTTTTGTAGGAAGAGTGCTAAACAAAAAGCACTTCTATGCTTTCCTTCCCGCTTAAATATTTTTGTTTGTTTACACCTGGATAAAAAGGCAGGTTACATCATCACTGATAAAATAGTATCGCTTATCCAAGACATAATGGAAATCAAAGCCGTGGTCTTTTAAACACAGATACTTAAGCCTCTACATTACAGACGTGCAAACACACCGATTCTGTTTGAGTAAATATTGGGGTGGAGGTACGGTTTCAAATTTCCATTAGTTGCTTTTATAAAATAATCAACAATTTCCTGAAGACTGAAGCAGGTGATCTGTAAAATAAAAGGAAAGATGCTCAATGTTTACTGTACTTGGATAGTTTTAAGTTTATTCCTTTAGACTGCGTGAGCAGAGTTCAATCTACTAACATACCAGATGATAGAAATTCCACCTGTGTCTAGAGTTACTTAGCAGTTGAAAACATCCAGAATTTTGTAATTTCTTAATTATAGTCTTAATTGTGACGTTGGTTTTCTGTGAGTTCTTTTTAAGAACTAGAGAAAAACGGCTATATGGTTGGAACTAAATTCAACAGTTTACCAAAATGTTAATAAAATACAGTAAATCTGGACCTGGGTGGAACTTCTCTTCCAAAACACACATTAGAATAATTAAGGCATGAAGCCCATGTTAACTAATAATAGAGTTCAGTGTGGCCCTCTACCAACAAGATGGCAGCTTCAAATTAACTCTTTGACTTTGAGAGTTAGCACACACACAGGCATTCTGTCAGAATTACACTAGTCTTCTTAATATAACAATAACAATCCTTGCATTTGATAAAGCGCCTCATCACATCAAAGTGCTTCACAGAATATATTATATAGTGGATTGATTGTATATTTTGTAGGCGAAAAGCGCCAGCGAATTGTTCACAGCAGATATGTCTCATGTTCTTCAAGATTAGGGATTTTTGAATCACAGGAAGCATGGAAATCTGCTTATAGTGCAATGTGCTGAAGTGTTTGACTTTGTGGGTTAGATCGCAATGCTGATTCTTACTCTGATCAAATCAACATGGCAGGAGATTTCATGGCCAGAAGTAAAAATAATACAATAACATTGATAATAATCCTTACATTTGAGGACATCTCAAAGCGCTTAGGCTAAAGATTAACTGTAGTGATTGTGTATTTGTAGACGAACATAGCAGCTAATTTGCAGTCATGAAGTGAATGGCCAATTTTATCTGGGGCAATATTAGCCAGGGCATTGGGAGAAACTCTCTTTACATTTCGAGCAGCACCGTGGGAACTTTAAAGCCTATCTGAACAGACATTCAGGATCTCATTTTAACATCTCATCTGCATCTGAAGGACAGCACCGCCAATAATGCAGCACCCACCCAGTACTGCAGTGAAGTATCAGCCTAGACTACAGCAAGTTTAAAGTCCCTGCATGCAGCTCGAATCCATAACCTTTTGACTCAGAGGCAAACGTGCTATGACCAGAGCCAGGCTGACACCTTATGGAAACCTGTGCCTTTATTTTGCTGCCACTGAGATTCCAAAGAAAAGCAGCCCTGGAGGGTCAAGGGCTGTTGTTATGTTTAGCAGTGCTGTAAAGTAACAGTGGAGACCTAACTTGCAGGTTTTATGTAAATGCATATGTTACAGAGGGAATTGCAGGTGCCCTAGCTATGTAACTAAGACCTGTAGCTCAGTGGTTAGAGCACTCGCTTTGCAAGTGAGAGACCTGAGTTCAATTCCAGGCAGAGGGCGAAACCTTGGGCAAGTTTCCTTACTCCACACAGAGCCTAATAATAATCCCTCCAAAAAACGAAACAATAATAAATTGGTCATTTCAATCCACAACTGTTTGTGGGACATTGCTGTGCGCAATTGGCTGCCGCGTTCGCCCACAAATATACAGTCAATTCACTTTACAGTGTGTTCTGTGAAGCGCTTTGGGACGTCCTCCCGACGTGAAAAGCGCTATATCAAATGTAAGGATTATTATTATTATTAAGAACTATTGAAAATAATTCCAGGTGATTCTATAATGCTTTCCATTGGTTAATTACACAATTAAATGTGCTTTCATTTTCTCTATACACATGTGCTTACACCTTACAAGATCACAAGATTGGTTTGGAAGAAGAAAGCCCTTTAGTCCATCTGATTTAATCACTGCAGAACATCCACCCTAATGTGCCCCCATCACTACATCAAACTGTTTTTTAAATGAATCTACCACCTTTCCTGGCAGCCTGTTCCAGTCGTTGACTATCCTCTGCATAAAAAACGCTTCCTGGTATTTGTCCTGAAATTCCCCTTTAAACTCTAAACCTACACCCTCTTGTTCTACTATTATGATGCATTCTAAAGTATCGATCTGGGTTTATGTTTTTAATCTCAGTTAAAATATACACCTCTATGAGGTCTCCTCTGAGTCGTCTTTTCTCAAGGATAAAGAGCCTGAGAGAATTGTTGCTCACAGCTCGTTGCTCTAACACTGGGGATCCTCCTCGTTGCTCTCCTCTGCATTGTTTCTAAGGCCTGGATAGCCCCCTTGTGTCGCAGTGACCAGAACTGTATGCAGTAAAAAAGGTGCGGCCTGACCTGAGCACTCTGCAGCCTGAGAATGATGTCGGAGATCTAAAGTCAACTGATTTACCATTATAGCCCAGCGTCTTGTTTGCCTTGTTTATTGCTACCTCACATTGTTTTGAGATAGTGAGCGACTAGTTAACTAACACCCCTAGATCTCTTTCAGCTTCCCCCTTGGCAAGTTCAGTCCCATTCATGGAGTACTTGTGTTTCCTATTCTTGGATTCTATTTGTATGGTTGACACAAGCCACAAATTGCACCCAGTGACATCAATTTGTTCTGATGTTGTATACATTGCTGGGAAATATTGTTATGCACAAATTGGTTGCCACATTTGCTTACAAAATACAATACGCACTTTACAGTAAGAATCCAGGGAAGTTTTCTGAGATGTCCTCCCGATGTGAAAGGTGCTTATACCAAAAGGATTATTATTATTTATTGCATGTCTCTCAGTCATAAGAATATGGTTCCACAGACCCAGGTTTCAAATTTCCAGTGAATAATTTCACACAGTACAGGTCGCAACATAGAATGACAAAATACATGGACTGTCTTAAACTTTGAATTTTCATAGTGAATAGAGAGAAATACTTACTGAATTGTCAAGCCAGAGGATAAACCTGTCATCGTCACTGGTCACCCTGTAGTGCTTTATGGCTGCTTTACTGTAATGTAAAATAATTCTCTTTAGTCCCATCTTGAGCTGGACTGTGATCACTCTTACTATGAAGAGTTAAGAGGTGCTATGTTTATTTCTGTGCAGAGATTGTCTATGTTTTTATGCTCATGTTCGAGATTTAAACCAGTGGATATATGCTGCTGAGAACAAAATATCTGAATCCACATTCTGGTACTAGAATATTAAAGTTACAGATGAGGCTTTGTTTTCAAAACTCTATCCCTGGTCTGCATTAGAGGTCTTCCTTTAAATAGCCATTCTGATTTCTGTCCGATCCAATTTAATCCTTAGAGTCTTTTCAAGCCTAGGAAACTCCTGTCTCACTGGGAAAATCAGTATACATGTTATGTGTTTCCATCTCGTGTACTATGACTCCGAATACACTTTTACAGTATTTACAGTGACTGGGGGCAGGGATTCTTGCCACTTGGGTTCTGTTAACTGGGTAAGTCATAGCCCTAAGACAGGGCGAAACCTTGGGCAAGTTTCCTTACTCCACACGCCTAATAATAATCCCTCCAAAAAAAAAAACAATAATTAAATTGGTCATTTTCAATCTACGACTGTTTGTGGGACATTGCTGTGCGCAATTGGCTGCCGCGTTCGCCCACAAATATACAGTCAATTCACTTTACAGTGTGTTCTGTGAAGCGCTTTGGGACGTCCTCCCGACGTGAAAAGCGCTATATCAAATGCAAGGATTATTATTATTATTATTATTAATGGGGGGGTGGGGGTCGAGCTGGACAAGTAGTAGGAAGTAGACTGGTAATGGCAAGTTGCAAAGTTTTGGTTGGATAAATTCCAGCAGTGTCGCAATAAACACGCTGAGGACTCCATATCTTGTCTGTTGTGCCTAATGCTTTCCAGGATTAAGTGACCAGGGTGAGCCTATTGTGATTATGTGCTTATCGAGAGTACATTTCTCCTTGGTGATCCCAATCAATGCTGCTTATATGTGCAGCAATTAAATGAAATAATGTTTCCGGACAACAGGAATTCCAGTGACAGTGAAGAATGGTCACATTACTCATGTTTAATGAGGAGCAGAATATTTTGATCCTTTTGTTTACTGTAATCCAGCTGCTTTGTTGATGCAGTGAAATTTCTCTCTTGGACTGTGAGAGGATTATTGAGTCAGCACACTATAGCTCAAAGAGAGTGCAAATAAGTACACATGATTTCAGGGCATTGAGATCTTACCCGGCAGTTACGTTATGAAGGGAAATGGATTTGAGACCCTCTCATTCTTTCTTTCCACTGACTTCCAAATCTCCTATATAATAAGTGGAGAGATGTCAAGCAGACATCTAAATGTAATTTGGGATCTTGTAAGATTAGTACGTAAAATGAGATTAGGACAGTCATAAAACTGTCCTTCATTCAGCCTTAATTGATGCTAAAGTATCAGATTGCCCCAGAAAGGCCAGGGGGATAGTTGGTAAACGAGATTGAAATGTTGCACTGGTTACTCAACTAAGGTGGGGTTGGAGTACAAAGGTTGTTACTCTGCACCACACAATGCTACACCATGGTATTCCAATGCTTGGAGTATGTGGTGTGGATGCCCAAATTTTCCTAGCTTAGACTATGAGTTGAAAGTCCCGACATGGGGTTTCTGACTTGGGGGTGAGAGTGCTCCCAGCTGAGCCTTACACCTAATCTTAGGCAGATTTGCCTGATCAGCCCACGTCCTCAGGTCTGGGCCAACTGATCAGGAAATTCAGGTATCAGGATCACGGAGAGCTCGGATTTTGCACTTCTTCACAAGGTGATCGCTAAAAAATTATTATAAATGAACAAGAATTAAGTTAAAGATAAAACTAAGTCCGTGGCCTTGTTTAAGTCCAAGATGGCTTTAGATGGCTGAGAATAGATAAATGGGAGAAAGCATTTTCCAGAAGTCAGTGGGGTGGTCATCCCCAACCAAATGATTACCCCAAGACACAAACAGATTGCACAGTCTATCCTTGTGATAATCATCACCAGCAACAACAACAACAACTTGCATTTGTATAGTGCCCATCACACAAGGTAGTGTCTTGGAGCTCTTTACAGTGGTGGAGCCTGACACCGAGCCCAGGAGTAGGAAGGAGAAGGTGAGCGTAAGCGAGATTGAAGAGGAAGTTAATTACCACACACTGATAATTATTATCACATTGAACAGTTACTAAATGCTGATAATTTAACCCTGCAGATTCAGTTAATACTCACTAGATTCTATGAGTTTGTCAGTACAACAGAAATTTCCAGCTGCCAATTTTTTTTGACTAAAGTTGAACCACCTGTTTTGCAATCTAATGATGTGTCAGCAGCTTCTCTGATTTTCCCATCCAGCTGGCAGCTTCACATTAAACAATCCAGTTTGCCATTAAAATGTCACAACTATTCAGCAGTAAATTCAATCGTCCAACATCTTAGGTAAACAAAAAAGACCCTCAGCCTCAATCCCAGGGTCAGTACACCATTCCAAATCCATAGCTACTAAACTTACCCGTTTGGTGGAATTAGAGTAGAGACTGAGTAGTTCATACTGTTGTTACTAGCAGGTCTTATGATCAGGCTCCCATTCTCAGGGTGCCTCTCAAGCAACGTCTCAGCCTCTATCCGAGAAACTGTGTAGTAACACCTAACAAAAAGAGGCAAAGGTGAGTGCAGGCTCCAACTGAAACTTGCAACAAAATTATAGCCCGGGGACAGGAAGGGGTCGGAGATATGGTTCCAGGCTGACAATGAACAAATTGTCCAGAGGACTTGCTGGTTTCTGTGCCGCTGGTTTGGGAAGGAAAAAGGGAGAAAGATGGAAAATGCCTCTCTGAGGAGGATAGGAGGCAAAGGCTAAGGTTAAACAGGACATGAAGACAGACAGAGAGAGGGTGAGATGCAAGGGGTCAAAGTAAGGAGTTCCAGAGGTGAGGGGTGTAAAATTAGAAAGCTGGCCACCAATGGTGGTACAGGTAGAATGGGGGGGGGGGGGGGTACATTCTGTTAATTACCCTCTGTGTAAAGAAACATTTCCTGGTTTCTGTCCTACAGTTCTCTTTCACAACTCTGAACATATAACAACAACAAATTACATTTGTATAGCACCTTTGCACCTTTCACATCAGGAGGACGTCCCAGGGCTCTGACCACTCGTCCTGCTCTCTGTGCTGCTTGTGAGGCCTGAATGTTTATAACCTTTTTCACAGGACTCGGCACCAGGAATAAAATCAAGTTTTACCATCTTATATACCATTGGATAATATACCCAAATGATTAGGATCATTCCAGATTTAGGCTCAGTTTGTAGCACTCTCACCTCTGAGTCAGAGCTTATGGGTTCAAGTCCACATCGGGAATTGAAACCCATTGGGCCATGCTGACACTTCAATGCAGTGCTGGGGAATTGAAAACTTAAAATCAGTTCAATATTTTAGGATGTATCAAGACAGTAGAACAAGAGGACATAAGTTTAAAGTTGTCAAAGTAATTTCACGACAGATGTCAGGAAGTTTTTCTTTACGTAGAGGATAATCAATGACTGGAACTTGTTGCCTGGAAAGATGGTAGAAGCCCAGAACATTGGACTAATTTAAAAATCAGCTTGATGCAGTGATGGAAGGATGGGAGGATAGGTGTTCTGGAGGAATGAGATCAGATGGGCTGAAGGGCTTTCTTCATCCAGACCAATCTTGTGAATTACAAATGCAAGGATTATTGATGCAAACGTCTACTTTACATACTCTGGCATGGAGTTCAATGTATTATCGTACACCCTTGCTTCAGGCTTGTCTACCAGGCTGTCCTGCGATTCTGGAGTTGCTGCTACAAGTGCCTGTCGTTCCTTTTCATGTTCAAGAATCTCTTGGAGTTGGAGAATTTGCCCAGGGAGTAGAGACAGGCCAGTGGGAACTTCCAGCTAGTAGAGTATCACATTATGCGTCAAATATTCATCCAAACAATTGATACTTACCACTTAGTATGGATATATATTAGTATTTTATGTGCAAATAAAATACATTTCATGTTGAATACATTTCAAACTTACAACATCTCGTGCTGAACCTTGTATGCTAGGTCAAAGGTAACAAAGCATGTCTCCCCTGACCACTGTTTCTGAATTGCCACGTTCATAAAACTATTTGATTCTGTCCCAAGTTCTTAGTTAATATATTAATGGTTTTCAAAATGTTTCAGTTGTCACTTATGAAAATAAAACACATAAATTATTAAACAAGAACACTTAATTATGTGGCTGACCCCACACGTCAAAAGTCCTTACTCATTAGTTGGGCCAATAGAAAAGTGTGGCCACCATTTTTCTGTGGAATCCACTATAAGCAGCGTCCTCCGCTATAAAGGGTAGTGAAGCGGTCCTGGGAGGAACGATCCCCAACACTATTGTGGGAGGAGCGGCTCCGGACACACATGCACGGTGCGAGGCAAGCGGGAAATGGACCTCGCACCACTTGGAGGCTCCGCTGTTGTGATTGTCTGTGTGTCTCTCTCTCTATGTGTTTGTGAGTGTCTATGTGTGTGTGCGTGTGTCTCTCTCTGTGTTTGTGAGTGTCTATGTGAGTGTGTGTGCGTGTGTCTCTATGTGTTTGTGAGTGTGTGTGTGTCTCTCTCTCTGTGAGTGTCTATGTGTGTGTGCGTATGTCTCTCTGTGTTTGTGAGTGTCTATGTGAGTGTGTGTGCGTGTGTCTCTATGTGTTTGTGAGTGTGTGTGTCTCTCTCTCTCTGTTTGTGAGTGTCTATGTGTATGTGCGTATGTCTCTCTGTGTTTGTGAGTGTCTATGTGAGTGTGTGTGCGTGTGTCTCTATGTGTTTGTGAGTGTGTGTGTCTCTCTCTCTCTGTTTGTGAGTGTCTATGTGTATGTGCGTATGTCTCTCTGTGTTTGTGAGTGTCTATCTGAGTGTGTGTGCATGTGTCTCTATGTGTTTGTGAGTGTGTGTGTCTCTCTCTCTATTTGTGAGTGTCTATGTGAGTGTGTGTGTGTGTCTCTATGTGTTTTGTGAGTGTGTGTTTGTCTCTCTCTCTCTGTTTGTGAGTGTCTATGTGAGTGTGTGTGTCTCTCTCTCTCTGTTTGTGAGTGTGTATGTGTGTGTGTGTGTGTGTGTCTCTCTCTGTGTTTGTGAGTGTCTCTGTGTGAGTGGGTGTGTCTCTCTCTATGTGATTTGGAGTGTTTGTGTGAGTGACTCTATTCAAAAAGCCTTTTGCTTATATTCTGCAAGAAAATCCCTTAATAGGTAGGGTGGTCCTAGCTGGACAGCAGCAGGAAGCTTGCCAGACAGTACTCTGAATGGCAAGCTATGTAGTTTTAATTGGTTAGGCTCCATCAGTAACCCAGCACACACAGTTTGGCCCTCAAGCATCGGCTCTCACCAACTGTGCACAATACTAATAAGAATTAGGTAAGTCGGGTGTCTCCCTCCAGGGAGAAAGTGACATTCCATTCCAGGCAAAGGGGAATTTCCACGTGTAGGTGGTATACATAAGTAGAACACTTAATTCTGGCTTGGATACTCTTAAGCGTCATGTTGGGTTTCTGAATATGTCAGATACCCAGCTGACCAAAAAACAAAATGATTTTTTTATTGCAACCTAGTGAAGCTGTTGTGAGGAGGAACAGTGTGCATCAAGTGCATTTAGATCTTAGATGGAATGAGGTAGGAAAGTTTACAGCAACAACCGTACTATTGATAAAGTAGAGAATAATACACACAATAATCTTTGAATTTGGAATCACCGTGTACTTGTAGGTAAACACGGCAGCACAATTGCACATATCAATGTTCCACAAACAGCCATGTTATTAGGGGGCCAGGATAACGGGAGAGAAACTCCTCTTTATGGTTGAGAAATTCAACAATTACTCATTTCCTAGAAATAACCAATGGATAGTCCTGCACATTATGGACCATGAGTTTGCTGGTTTGAAGCCCAGTCCGTGCTGAGTTTGGTGAACTCATATGGGGCTGGATGAAGAGACTCAACTAGCCCGGCCTTCCCAGTGTTAGGGAGGGGAAAACCACACAGGATTCCTACTCTATATTACAACAACAACAATAACAAGATTATATTTGTATAGCGCCTTTCACGTCGGGAGGACGTCCCAAGGCACTGCACAGAGTATAGCATTTCAGACCCGAGCTGGGATTGGGAGGGCAGGGGAAGGGGGTGGGCCGATGGGATGGTCGAAGAGGAGGGTTTTGAGGTGGGACTTGAAGGAGGCCAAGGAGGGGGCGAGGCGGAGTGATTAGGGAATGGAGTTCCAGAGGTTGGGGGCAGAGTGGCTGAAGGCTCTCCTGCCAATGGTGGGGTGGGTGGGTCGAGGGACGTGGAGCAGGCCAGAATCGGCTGAGCGGAGGGAACGGGCGGTTTGGTAGGAGGTCACAGAGGTAGGGTGGGGCGAGGCCATGGAGGGCTTTGTATGCGAGGACCAGGATCTTGAACTGGATCCTCTGAAGGATAGGGAGCCAGTGTAGTCGGGGGAGATGGGGTCATGGAGTTTGGTGCGGGAGAGGACTCGGTCTGCAGAGTTCTGGATTATCTGCAGCCTGTGGAGGGAGGAGTTGGGAAGGCTGACAAGCAGGGCATTTGCATAGTTGAGCCTGGAGGTGATGAAGGCATGAACAAGAGGTTCAGCGGCCTGATGGGTGAGGTAGTGGTGGAGACGGGCGATGTTACGGAAGTGAGGGAAGGCAGAGCGGGTCACGGCTTGAATGTGGGGGAGAAAAGACAGTTGAGGGTCGAACAAGACCCCTAGGTTCCTGACTGTCTTGGTGAGTTGCAGTGTGCAACCATGGAGGTTGATGTTGCCAGAGCCTGAGGTGCTGAGGCGCTGGTGTGAGCCAATCAGGAGGCCCTCAGTCCTGTTCACATTCAACTGTAGGAAATTTGCCCTCATCCAGGACTTGATGTCCGACAGACAGTCTGTCAGGACAGCAGTGGTCCTGGAGTTGAGGGTGGAGGCAAAAAGATAGAGTTGGGTGTCATCTGCATACATGTGGAAGTTGACCCCATGTCTGCGGATGATGTTACCAAGGGGGAGCATGTAGATATTAAAGAGGAAAGGGCCAAGGACAGAGCACTGGGGGACGCCAGACATGACAGTGCGGGGGCTGGAGGAGAAACCGTTGGAGGCAACAAAGTGGAAACGATGAGAGAGATAGGAATCGAACCAGGCAAGGGCAGGTCCGTGAAGATTGACACTACACTGTTTCTCTAGTAAAGTTTTGTTTCAAGCAAATATTTGATAAAAGTTCTTATCAGAGTTCAATGCACTCATGAATAATATGCTTCCAATCTTCATTACAAGAACAATTCAAAAAAAATACAATGTTCATACCTGAGAGACCACAGCAATGTAACCTTGCCATTCAATTTTGGTTTCAGTGCTTTCAGCCTGCCAACAAGAAAAGGGAAATTATATTTTGTGTATATAATTAACAGAATAGAAACACTTTTCACTGAAAGCACTCCTGATTAATGCCTGGTTGTATTGTAACCAGCAGTTGTAGCTTTGTTGCTGGAAAGGATATAGGCTGCTCTTGAAATCAAACACTCTTTGCTAATACATCACTCTGCTCTCCATTATCCTATCACCAACACTGCACAAGCACCAGAAAAACAAACAAATGAATGTTATCCTTCAAAAAATATACAAAGGACAGCAGGTATTCCGGGTCTGAAATTAACCTTGTGATTTTGTTGCCACTCATAAATGGAAGCACTGCCTTATATTATTGCCTCGTTACTTACTGGAAGCCATCTATTGCATTATGTGTCACAGTTAAACTATCCGTCAATCATACCCAGTAGTATCATTGGAAAGCCAGTAAAAATCATGCTTTCCTCTACACTGCTTTTCATTCTGAGTAAAATAAATGCACCTTATCGCTTCACAGAACATTGAATCTGAGACACTAAAACATTAATTCTAGGGTGAGTTCTCCTGATTCAATAACAACAAACAACAAATTACATTAATATGATGCCTTCAAATCGGAAGGATATTCCCAAGGCGTTGAATAAGGTGTTAGCCCGACTCATTTGGCAGCAGTCTAGCATTTTGAGTCAGATTGTTGTGAGTTCAAGCTTATCAGGAGCTTATAGACAAGGCTGGCATGTCTTGGAAGAGTGCTGCATTCTCATAGATGCAGTCTTTAGGCTTAAAATGTTAAACCAAAGTCCCACTTGGCTTGTTTAAGTAGATATTAAAGACTTGGAGCAGAAGAAAACAACAAGTGTGATACCCAGTGTTGGGGGAATGAGCTATGAGCAACAATTTCATAACTGAAGGTTATTCAACCTGAAAAAGAGATGTCTCAGAGGGGATTTTGTAGAGGTAAGTGAGATTTTAAAGGAGATTGAGAAAATAAACTCAGAACATATTCATCAAGACAGCAAAACAAGAGGACATAGGTTTAGGGTTGCAAATTCAGGACAGAAATCAGGAAGTATTTCCTTACCAAAGGGTAATTAAGGACTAGAACAGTTTACCTGGAAGGATTGTTGAGGCGGACAACCCTAAAAACCAACTAGATGCAGTGATGGGAGTACAGTGGGTATTCTGAAAGGATGAGATCAAGGGAGCTGAAGTCCTTTTTAATATTAAGAGCTGAATTGACTTCAGACTCCAAATCTTAAGAGATTATGAGGTATCATTGATCAGACTGGAGCATTAAGGGAACAGCTTCCGAAACCACCTACTCTAAGAATGCAGTGTCAGGAACGAGGCTCCAGCGAGACTTTCTACAGTCTCAGACACCATTTATTCTGCACATTAGTTATAAACAAATCAGGCCTCCCCCTCCGCTTCAGTCTGCTGCTGGAGACAATTTCCTTCACTTCAGGCAGCATAAACTGCGATGAGACCTGTATGTAAGAAAGATAACACTGAGATTGATGAGTCTGAAAAGCTAAAGCTGGTACCTTTAACTGTATCTCCTCCTGTTCTAGTTGCAATGTGAATAAAACTGATCGGGATTCTCTACCGTTGTCATCCAGTGGCACAAGGGACTGCAGGTTCAGCTTTTCTGTATACTGAAAAAGGATTTTACATGGTTATAGGAGGAATGATATGTAGGCCTCTGCATGCAGAAATATGTTATTGTAAGGAGTTTTCTGTTTCCAGTACAAATATCATATACTGTTTTATCCTTTCAAGGGCATTTACCTAATAATATTTGGCACACCTTTCACTGTTGGGGGAGAGAAGTGAGAGGACCCGGGTTTAATTCCTGGGCAGGGCGAAACCTTAGACATGTTTCCTTATTCCAAATGCCTCTGTTTACCTAGCAAAAAATAGGAACCTGGATGTTAATTGATTGGCAGATCGCTTTCCGGGGAAAATTGTTTATGTGTCAGCCTGGTGCAGTAGTTGCACTCTTGCCTCTGAGTCAGAAGGTTGTGGGTTCAAACCCTATGTCAGGACTTGGAATTACATAGATTAAGTTGACACTCTAATGCAGTGCTGTGGGAGTGTTGCATTGTTAGAGGATGAGACGTTAACCTGAGGTCCCATCTGTCTGTTCATGTGGATGTTAGAGATCCCATGTTACTTTTCTCCTGTGTACTGTCCAAAATAAAATTGATCACTTACTCCGTGGCTGTTTGTGGGACACTGCTATGCGCAACTGGCTGCCACGTTTCTCCCACAAAATACACAGTCAATCCACTTTACAGTATATGGCACTATATCAAAAGCCAGAATTATTATTATCAAGCTATGAAGTGCTTTGAGACATCTCATCGATGTGATAAGGCGCTATATCAAATGCAAGGATGATTATTATTATTGAAACAGCCTGAATAGCTGTGGAGTGACGCAGTTCAGAAGTTACAAAGTGCAGAGTTTATAAAAGCCCTCGTAAAAAAATATTTATTATGATTGTACCTTTGGTCAACATTCTTAGAATCTTATTCCTCTGCTCACTGCCTGGTGTTCCCACTGTGGTCTTTGTGAAGCATGAGGAGATGTTTATCCCATGTGAAAGCTGTTATGTGAGTGCAAGCTATCATTGTGCAAGTGTTGTTCAGTGAAGGAGGTCAGGAAATAATGCAATAATATAGAAAAAAATGTCAACAACAACAACAACAAGATTCCATTTATAGAGCGCCTTTTACGTCGGGAGGACGTTCCAAGGCACTGGACAGTAGGGTCGGGAACGGAGCAGGGGGTAAATGGTCAGGGGGAGGGAAGGGAGGGAGCGAGGAGGGGAGAAATGGTCAGGGTGAGGGGAGGGAAGGGAGGGAGCGAGGAGGGGGAAGAGAGTCGAGAGGGGAGCTGAAGGCTCGGTCAAAGAGAAACGTCTTGAGACCGGTCTTGAAGGAGGAAAGGGAGGAAGCGGCGAAGGCACTGGGGGATGGATTTCCAGAGCCTCGGGGCTGAGAGGCTGAAGGCCCGGCCACCGAAGGTAGGGCGGTTGGGGCGGGGGATGTGGAGCACACCGGAGCCAGAGGAACGGAGGGTACGGGCAGGTAGGTAGGGGGATAGTAGGTTGGAGAGGTAGGAGGGAGCAAGGCCGTGAATGGCCTTGTAGGTGAGGATGAGGATCTTGAATTCGATCCTCTGGGGGATGGGGAGCCAGTGGAGGCGAGCGAGGGTGGGAGTGATGTGGTCGCGAAGCCTGGTGCGGGACAGTACACGAGCTGCAGAGTTCTGAATGACCTGCAGCTTGTGGAGGGAGGTGTCGGGAAGGCCGACGAGGAGAGAGTTCCCGTAGTCCAGCCTTGAGTTGATAAAGGCGTGACCAGAGTTTCAGCAGCGTGAGGGGTGAGGAAGTGCCGTAGTCTGGAGATGTTCCGGAGGTGGTGGAAGTGAATGTCAGTTGTGGCGCGGATGTGGGGAAGAAAGGACAGCTCAGGGTCGAACAGAACCCCGAGGCTCCTGACTGGCTTTGAGAGGTGGAGAGTGCAGCCTTGGATGCTGATGCTGTCAGCGCCTGAGGTGCGGAGGCGCTGACGTGAGCCAATCAGGAGGGCCTCAGTTTTGCGCACGTTGAGCTGAAGAAAGTTGTCTCTCGTCCAGGACTCGATGTCGGACAGGCAGCTGTCAGGACATTGGTGGTCGTGGAGTTGAGGGTAGAGGAGGAAAGGTAGAGTTGGGTGTCATCCACATAGATGTGGAAGTTAACCCCATGTTTGCGGATGATGTCACCAAGGGGGAGCATATAGAGGGTAAAGAGGAGGGGACCGAGGACGAACCTTGAGGGACACCGCACGAGACAGTGCGGGGGTTGGAGGAAAAGCCGTTTGCAGAGACAAAATGAAGACGGTGGGAGAGGTAGGAACTAAACCACTCAAGGACAAGGCCTTGAAGGTTGAGGTGGGAGGACAAGCGGTGGAGGAGGATAGCGTGGTCGACCGTATCGAATGCAGCCGATAGGTCAAGGAGGACGAGGAGGCAGAGGGAGCCCTGGTCGCAGATGGTGAAGATGTCATTGGTGATCTTAACCAGGGCGGTTTCCGTGCTATGGGCAACACGGAAACCCGACTGGAGGGGTTCGAAAAGTGAGTGGGTGGAGAGGAAAGAGCGCAGCTGGGAGACAACGACTCTTTCGAGAACCTTGTACAGGAAGGGGAGGTTGGAGATGGGCCGGTAGCTTGATAGCTGCGATGCATCAAGGGAGGGTTTTTTCAAGGGAGTGATGGTGGCAGTTTTGAGGGGAATGGGAACAGAACCAGAGGAGAGGGACAGGTTAATGGTGTCTGTGAGAAGTGGGGCAAGGAGGTGGAGCTGGGAGATAAGGAGTGGAGTGGGGATGGGGTCAAGGGAGCAGGTGGTGGGTTTCAAGGACAGGATGAGTTTGGTGACAGAGGGTGGGGAAACGGGTACGAAGGTGTGTAGGGGAGGATGGGTAGGAGTCGGAGTGTGGGAGGGAAGGGGTAGGTGGTGGGTGGAAGTTGGAGGGGAAGTGACCGCGGAACGGATTCCCTTGATTTTGGATTCAAGGAAATCCAGCATCTCCTCGCAGTGAAGGTTGGAGGAGATGACCTGCGCGGGGTGGCGGGGGGACGGAGGAGTCGGGATGTGGTAGAGAACAAAAGCCTGGGGTTGTTCTTCGCCTCCAGGATTATCCTGGAGTAGAAGGACGACTTGGCCGAGGCTAGAGTGGAGCGGTAGATTTTGAGGAGGTCCAGCCAGATTTGCCGGTGGACTGTTAGGCCAGATTTGAGGCAGGTGCATTCAGCGGCCCGCACCTGGCTCTTCAGTGAGCGGAGGTGGGTGGTGAACCAAGGGGAGGAGCAAGAGTAGGAGACAGTGCGGGAGGTGATGGGGGCAAGAGTGTCGAGTGTGGAGGGGAGCGTATTGTGGAGGAGAGTGAGAGCAGAAGAGGGGTCAGTGAGGAATGAAGGCCAGAGGGAGAGGAGTTCAGAGGACTCCAAGGCAGCAGTTAGGGATTGTGGGGGTAACTTCTTCCAGGGGCGGTAGAAGATGGTGGTGGGTCTGGTGGAGGTGCGGAGAGGGGTGGAGGTGGTGAAGGAGATGAAGTGGTGATTGAAGACGGCCTTATCGGTAATGGTGACATCCAAGACACTGAGGCCCCGGGTGATCACCAAATGGAGTGGGTGGCCATGAATGTGAGTGATGGAGTTGATGTGCAGGGAGAGGTTGAGCGAGGAGAGAAGGGAGGAGAAGTCCGAGGAGGTGGAGCAGGAGGGGGTGAAGTGCAGGTTGAAGTCGCCCAGGATGATGGGGTGATCAGAGCAGAGGCAGAGAGATGTTAGGAGGATAGAAATGTCAGAGATGAAGGTGAGAGAGGTTTTAGGGGGCCGGTAGAGGAGGAGGATTTTGAGTGAGAGATGGGAGGGGTGGGAGAGGGTGAGATGCTCAAAAGAGGGGAAAGAACCAGAGGAGTAGGGGGATAGCGCAAGTGGTGTCCTTGAGATAAGGGCTACACCACTGCCACATTCTATGTCAGACCATAAAAGAACCCAATAGGTATCCGTAATGATACTTAGCTGCAGTATCACTTTGTACCTTAAACCTTAAGCAGACTCCAGGTGCAGTAAAATTCCTGTTTCCTGAGTGACTCTCTTTGTTTATTTACCAATCACTGTCGATATCAGGAATCACCAAGTCATTTGCCAGAGACAGTTCCTCATAATTGGAAAGGCTTATGATTCAGTGACTCACTCACTGAGTTAGTTTCCTTTCCTATAAATGGGTCCAGTATCAAAAACTGCTAATCATTAATTTCATTCAACTAATTTAACTGAATTAATTAATGTTAATTCAATGCTTCATATGGAGAGGTTCAATAATTAGGCCCTTTATCTAAATCTGTCATGAAGACTCACATTTTTAAAATACTGGAAAAAAAGCTAAATTTCAATTAGTCCTAATTCTCAATGAAGGTCAATAACAGAAATGCTGTAAATCTACAACAAGTTAGCCAACACCAAAAACAACCTGTATAGCATACCATCTTGGAGTGCTTCACAAAGACAAGGTTGGATGGCAAGCAAGGGAGAAGGGGAAGGGGAGATATGGGAGGTGAATATTGATGTGATTGAAAGGTTAGGTATCTAGGCGGGATTTCAAGACAGATGGGTGGTGGGGGGATGTACCGGTAAAGGGAGGGAGGTTAGAGGCAAAACTACTGAAGCGTTCGGCCATCGATTGTGGTACAGAAGGGCCAGGGACATACAGCAGGCCTGAGTCAACTGAGCAGAGTGGGTCAGCAGAAGAGTGGGAGAAGATCATAATGATCGGAAGATGCTAGAATATGGAGGGATTTAAACATGATGGTGAGAACTTTAAATCAATCCATTGGGGGACAGGAAGCTATTGGAGCCTATTGTTGGAATGCTAAATATGTAGTTATACATGATTGAACAAATACAAGCAAGCATATACCAGCAGGCACACACCGATTACAAAATGAGCCTACATTGATAAAAATCTAATTGAGTTAACTGGTATTGATCTCCTTGGTTACAAAAATTGGTCAGCGTCACAGAGCCTCCCCATTCAGTGCAGCTCCTGGCCTTCCTTTGATGCTAATAGAGAACCATGGTGTAGCTGGACAGGTTGAAAGCTTTCTTTGTTGCTCTAAGGTGATCTGTTCCCAGATTTCCTTTTGCTATAGTGCAATTCATTTTACTTCAATGTAATTGGAGCCTTTCCCCATTTTAAGGCCCTGTTCTAAATAAACTTTAACAAAATGTATGATTGATGATTGCTGCTGTATTCCTGTAGACCCTTTATTGTTTTTGTATGAGCAATGATCTTTGAATGCTTCACATGAAAATAAATTATGCTAACGAAATTGCTGAGGGAACTCAATTAACATTTATTTTATATGAATGTGAAGTATTCTCATTTATTTCACTTCATGGCTGTTTGTGGGACACAGTTGTGTTCACATATAAATATACAGTCACTACATTACAGTAAAAGTCTGTGAAGCGCTTCAATGACATGATAAGGCACTGTGTCAAATGCAAGATGTATTATTATTTATCAGTGTTTCTGTGTTCTCTTCCACCCCTTTTTAATGGTTAGGAAGCAAATGTATACATTTGAATTCCTGCACCCAATTGCTAGACCCATAGTTTACAGTATTAGGTGTTGCTTTATAGCAAAGAAAAGGCAGGAAAGACAACATACATGGCCTCCACTTACCTGAAGCAGTTTCACTGCAATTTAGCAGATTCCTAACCATTGAGGAAGTTATTACTAATAATAATCCTCGCATTTGGTTTACAGGTATTCTTTCCAGTTGGTTCTTGTTAACTCTGCAAGCCAACACTCTATCGAGCAGAGTGGTATTACTGGACAAACAGCAGGAAGCTTACCAGAACAGCACTCTCATTGTTAAACTATGCATATTCTTGTGTCCCCAAGTCTTGGCTATCATCAACCTGCACCTAATACGTTCTGGAATTAGGTAAGCAGGGTGTTTCCCTCCAGAGAGAGAATGTTAATTTCATTCAGACGCAGGAAAATTAGCATGTGCAGGTGACATACATTTTTGCATGTGTCAGACATCCAGCTGGATAAAAAAAATAAGGATGCAACTTCCTCAACCCACTTATACTGTCTGCTTCACTGGTTACGTATCATAGAATCATAGAATCTTACCGCACAGAAGGAAGCCATTCGACCCATGGTGTCTGTGCTGACTCTTTCAAAAGAGCTATCTAATTCAATCCCACTCCCCCGCTCTCTCCCCATAGCTATGCAAACTTGTCCTCCCAAATAATTATCTAATGTATTCCATACTTCCCATATTTCTCCCTTCTCCTCATCTGAAGATACTGAGTATGTTCTACGGGCAGCAGGAACCCTTATCATCTGAGAAGATGTTCTTCATGCTTAAACCTCGGCAGGGAGATTAGCAGACTGAGATTGGGACAACACTACAAGGAAGTCAAATCCTGTCCAAATCTGACAACATACATACTTTTGCACCAGGGATCACTGGATAACAATAAAAGAGCAGGAGCGCTGCCTGATAATCCCTGTAACCAACTAAACTGCACCCCAACTAAAATCAGCTAATTCAGAACAAACTTGGGATTGAACCTGGGATGTTCCTGGTTTACTTTCAGATTGGTCAGTGACTCTACGAACATCAGAGGAGTTCTGCTCACACTTATTCTGTTCTGAATCTCTGTGGCTTCTGCAAGTTGACATTGGATAATTTTCAGAGTGTGACCTTATTCTAAAACATCTAAATCCGTGTGAAGTAGATAATATCATGTCTATTACTGTGGACCTCAAACACTTTCTTACCATCCCATCTTTTTCATCGGAGTAAAAGAATATCACACAGCCTCGCAGCTCCGACCAGTATCTTTGGAAAGACTGTTAAAGAGAAAGAGGAAAATATATTAAAGGAAGAAAAACACCCCTTGACTTTTTGTCAGTCTGGCTCAGTTGATAACACTCTCACCTCTGAGTCAGAAAGTTGTGGGTTCAAGCCCCACATCAGGATTTGGAATCATATAGCCTAAGATACTACTCCAATGCTGTGCTAGGGGTAAACTAGCTGCATTGCTTTCCCTGAGCCTTGTGAAGTCCACAATCTCATACTGCCCCACACACTTCTCACAAGTGCTTAGAGTTCAGCAACATAGACACTACGTCACACTAATGCTCCAACATGTTATGTTTCATCTCCCCACAAAATTCCCTGAACATTTAAGGAAACTGCCTGTAGAGAGTCCAGTCAATTCCATTCAATATATCACATCCTTTGACATTGTTAATAATCACAACCCCTTTAAGGCAGATTATCTCCAAGCAACACAACACAGTTCTGTTTATCTTAACATTTTACTTCTGACCTGATCTTAACAACTTGTGACAGTACTTAAGGTTGACTTGCTCCAGATATAGGTTTTATTCTTTGTTTTTCATTTCAGGGTTCACCTTACAATCATAAGCAATACTGTCCTTGCATTTAAGCACTGCCTTTGGCACATCAAAATATCTCAAAATGCTTTACAATGTTTAACTTTGTGAAATCTCGTGACTTGTTCTGTGGCCAAACCTGGTAGCTGGATGCTACCAACAAGTTCTGACAAATAGCAATGAACAAACAATCAAACTGATTTGCAAATACTGGCTGTCGATACATACACCCTGTGTTTGTCTAAAATATTGCCATGGATCTCTAACATCAACCTGAACCACCAGAGCACCAGCAGATAGGACCTCAGTTTAAAATCTCATGCCCAGGATGGCACCTCTAACAATTTGTTGCTCCCTCTGTACTATACTGTACTGCACCGTTGGTCTAGACTCTAAAGGGTGACTTCAGGAATGGCAACTTATATCTGAAAGAGAATTCACTATTCCGAGTTCCCACATTACGTAAAAGAGCATTCTTGACCTACCTTATCCAGTGCTCCTTTTTTCCATAGGAATCCTTCATAGTACAGTGGCAGGGAAGTAATCATCTCACGTTTTTTAAAAATTTGTCTGAGTTTTGTTCTGTTGGCAGTCATTTCAGATATAGTAGTATTCCCAACAACAAGCAAGGTCGTTCGTACCTATTACTGCTTAACAGAAAGCAGTGGAGCCATAGAAAGTCACAAAGGCACACACTTTAGTGTATCTATGTGCTGTTATCTGTTGGATTACAGATTTAGGTGTTAAATGAACAGAGCACCAAACAGTGCAGCAGATTTATTGGAGACTATACAAAGCACTGACTACTTCTGGTAAAATTACTGGAATGAAGCAGGAATGAGGAAACTGTTAAATGAGGAAGTTAGATTACCTTAATTGTGTGCCAAAGAACAATCCAAGAGCAGGGAACCAATCAATGATTAACAACATCAATTAAATAACATGGAATGAATTTGCAAATAACTATGATAATCCGAAATATAGAGCCTGGATTTCTGTGATTTTCTAGATGACAATTATGCCAAAACATCATTTTGTACATTTAGTATTATTCTCGCCTGCAAGAATCCTTTGTTGACATTTATAGCAAAAAGGAGAGTAAATAAAGCTACTTACACTTGTTGAGGTCTTGTTAAAAGATGTTAAAAGAAATCTTTCCAAATACACTTTTATATATGTATTTTTCAACTGTTTATCCCATTCCCTTTAAAAAGCTATTGCAGATTCTGCTTCAACATCCATTTTTTTTTTCGAGGGGGTTTGAATGAAGTGGTGGAAGTGGGCAATGTTATGGAGGTGAGAGAAAGTTGAGTGGGTATGAGCATTGGTGTGGATTTTCAAAGAGAGTCCAGTTTGGACTGCAAATATTTGGCAATGTGAGAATTATCACATCATGTATGCATTTTTCAGCTCTATATTTATCCCATAACCCCCCTCCCCACACACACACAGTGTTCACTTGTCTAACTGGTTGCATCTGATGCTGGTTGGCGCTGCCATGAATGAGCCTGTGGTGCTTTTAAACCTGCTGTTTCTTGGCTTCATTTAATCTTTAAATGTCAGGACATATCATCTTATTTAAAATAAACCTCTAATGTAGTAGGTAATCATTCCAGATGAGATTAGATCATCGGTCCATCTAGCCTACCATGCAATTTCCCGCAAGAGTCATTTAATGTATCTATCTCTAAATCTAATAACTTTGAATACTTTTAATTGACAGGAACTTGGCTGGTTCCTTTATTTGTATTATATGTTCCACCACCTGTGCCAATGCCTATCATCCTTTTACTAAAACAAATTCTCCTACATTTCCCATTTGCTTTTGTAACCCTATTTTGAAGTTACCCCCCCACCACCTCTCATTCTTAAATTTTGATCTGCACACAAAGTTTCCAAGTCTTTCAAACTTTCATCAACTCCCTCCTCTGTCTTCTCTCTTCAAGAGAGAAACGGTTTTAAGTTGGCCAATTTTTTTTCATAGTTTTGTACATTAAGTGCTGGACTAGGGCGAAACTCTAGGCAAGTTTCCTTACTCACACATTTCTGTTTACCTGGCAATAAGTAAGAACCTGATTTTTAGACAATTGGTAGATCTCTTTCCGGCGGTAATAATCCCTTCAAAAAAAGAATTTCAATTCACGACTGTTTGTGGGACACCGCTGTGCACAATTTTACTCACTGTCAGATTTTGCCCACAAAATATAGTCAATTCATTTTACAGTGTATTCTGTGAAACTCTTTGAGACGCCTTGATGACGTGATAAGGTGCTGTATCAAATGCAAGGATTATTGTAATTATTATCTAAGTAGTCCATTGTTGCATTCCCTCCAGCAACTAAAGATCCTTTTTGTAGACCAAAACAGCATGCAGTGCTCCAAATGTGGCCTCACCAAGGTCACATACGATTTTAAATTCATCTATAATTCTATGATTCTATTTTGCAATGCTATGGGGAGAGAGCAGGGGAGTGGGATTGGTTTGGGTAGCTCTTTTCAAAGAGCCGGCACAGACACGATGGGCCAAATGGCCTCTTTCTGTGCTGCATAATTCTATGATTCTATAGGGTTGCAAAGAACAAGTCCAGGGAAAACACCAGGATGTATTTATTTATCCAAAGAGAATTAATGACTAAAACACACTTGCAGGAAGGGTAACTGAAGCCAGGACATGGACTCATTTAAAAAATAATGAGTAATCAGTAAGAATGTGGATGGGTATTCTGGAAGATTGTTTCAGGTGAAGAAGACCATTTCCTCTCATCCTTTCAGAATATCCACCTAGCCATCTTCCCAACACAGCTTCAATTGATTTTTAAATGAGTTTATGGTCACAACCAGATTAAATGGCCGGAGAGGCCTTCTTCATCCAAATCTCTCTTGTGATCTTGATTTATCCATTATACCCTTAGCTACTCATCACATTGTTTTGTTGTTTTCTTAACTACCTAGTGGTTTTAATCACCTGCTCTTAAAAAAATCTCCTGACATATAATGGAAGCATGCTTTTAATTATAGAGTAATTAAAACAACTTCCTTCCTTAAGGTACAGAGCTATGAAGAAAGCTTGGTCAACTTAGACCTTTTAGTTCAGAGACCGAGGAGGGAGCTGATGGAGGTATGAGAGACTTAGAAACTTTGTGTTCAGATTATGAATTTATGGGGAATCTGAAGATTTTGTTGATGATTCCAAAACATTCAGTATTATATAAATTCTAATTTTCATTGCATTTGATATAGTTCACATCGCCAAAATGTCTCAAATCACTTCACAGCATTTACTGTTAAAGTGTAGTGACTCTCTATGACCTGTCAATTGAACTTCATTGCATTTAACAGCCTAGAGTATTATACACTAGAAAAAGGAGATAGTTATCAGAATCAATAGGCGCAAAACAAAGCTGCTGAAAAGCACACAAGACAAGCAATGTAATTGAACGTACTAGCCACTTGAGGGCATCACATACCACCTGCACCACATTCAGACAAACACGAGAACAGGCTTTAAGGCTAAAGAAAACAATCAAGGCCTTTACTTTTTGCTGAGTCCCAGCCTTTAAGACCACCTTTTCTTCAAATTTAAATCATGCAGAATAGTGAAAAATTCTTAAATTCTATCTTAATTTAGAAGTCAGTTGTCTGCAGTTCTTACGACAAAATTAAGACTGCAGAGTTTTTCACAATTTTGCACTGTTTTTAATTTTAAGACAAAAAGGTTCAAGGGCAGCCCCAATAATGCAGCGTAAGGATCAGGAGCTTGTTGGTTTGAGTCTGTGCTGAGATGGCTGGTCTTAGCCAGGGTCACATGGGAAAGCTAAACTGGCCCTGACCTTCTTAGGGTTTGGGAGGGGAATAATAGCTCTGGTTGTTGCTCCTGGTCCCTCCACAGCAGCCTCTGATTTCCGACAGCTTAGTGGGCAGAAGTCAGGCTCGGCTGCAGCCCCCTTTACAGTCGAGTGGCCTCCGATCGTCACTTGCCAAGGCTCATCATGAACAATGCCGACTTGGATGACAACCAGTATAGTGGAAATGTGGATGAGGAGGCCAGACCAGGAGCAGTGAGGCATATGTCAATAGGGAGAAATTCAGAAAAATAATTGGACACACAAAATTCATATTAAAAAAGACTAGGTGAAATTTGGGCATGAGATATATGGTTGCACTAATAAGATTAAACTTGAAAGACCCAAAATGATCTCATCCAGTGACCTAGTGGATAAAGTTAAGCACCATACGTTCGAATCCCAGCCTGCGCTAAGTTAACTGAGCGGCCTCAGAACCCCTCAATAATGCAAGAGAAAATGACTGGACACACACCAGGCAAGGTATGAGGTTGTTAAGTGCTGGAATGTAGCCCACCACTGCACTTCATCTAACAACCGAATATCTTTTTTGATGTAAGGAAACCAGATCAACATGCAGTGCTCCAGACATATTCTCAAAAAATTTAAAACTATCTCTCGTACTGATATAAAATAAAATAAATTAATTTCATATTTCTTTCATACTTCTTTCTCAATTTATATATTACCTCCTTAACTATGTACTCAACAAAAAGTTCATCCACAAAGTAAACACAATGACCATCACATACAGAACATCATGTGAAACACTTCAAGATGTCTCATTTATGTGTGAGGTGTTATATCAAATGCAGGGATTAAGATTATTATTATTATTTTGTTCGCAAATGTTGATATAATGATAATCCTTATATTCTGTATCGGGACTTTCAAGCTGGGAGGCTGTCTCAAAGGGTTTCAAGTGATATCGAGCCACTTGAGGGTCCATGGAGTCCCGTAGTTCAGTGGTTAGAGCACTCACCTCGCTTTACAAGTGAGAGACCTGAGTTCAATTCCACTGTATATTGTGTGAAGCGCTTTGAGACGCCAAGAACATGGGAAAAGTACTAAATCAAATGCAAGAATTATTATTATTATATAGTGTAAAGTAGAGTGACTGTGTGGAAGTCGGGCAAGGAGATGATTGGGCTCTGCTATGGAGCTTCCATGGTCAATTAGGCTTCAACATTCAACAACAACAACAACAACAAACAACAACAAATTGCATTTATATAGTGCCTTTCATGTCGGGAGGATGTCCCAAGGCACTGGACAATGAGGGGTTTGCACCCAGAGCTGCCGTTTGGGATCAGAGGGGGGTTGAGGTCAAGGAGGGTGGAGAAGGGGAGATGACCGAAGGCACATTTGAAATAGAAGTTCTTGAGACGCCAAGATATTCTCCAAGATAGTGGAATCCTGTAGCTCAGTGGTTAGAGCACTCGCCTCGCAAATGAGAAACCTGGGTTCGATTCCCAGCAGGACGAAACCTTGGGCAAGTTTCCTCGCTCCACATGCCTGATAATAATCCCTAAAAAAACCCAATAATAATTTGGTCACTCAATCCACAACTGTTTGTGGGACACTGCTGTGCACAATTGGCTGCCGCATATCGCCCACAAATACACAGTCAATTCACTTTACAATATATTCTGTGAAATGCTTTGAGACGTCTAGAAGACGTGAAATGCAAGGATTATTATTATTATTTGACTTTGCAAATAACTCTGAAGAGAGGTGAGATGATGTCTGACACCTATCTTTCAGTGATTGCCAGTTCAGGGCAGTTTGTGCTGTGGTTTCAAGCCCGCAAAGAATTCCATTGAGAATGCTTGCGTTCATTTTTGCAGACAATCCTAACAAATTTTCACTCTTTCTGTCTGAGGACACCTTCAAAGAAAATCCATTCAGTTTTAATGTTTCTTGTTGTTTTGAGACATTG